GGGAAAGCCAGACAGCCCCATGTAAATCAGTGATGTTGGAACACATCATCTCACCATACACAAAAAGAAACCCAAAACGGATTAAAGACTTAAATATAATACATGGCACCATAAAAGTCCTAGAAGATATCACAGGCAAGACATTCTCTGATATAAGTTATACCAATGTTTTCTTAGGTCAATTTCTCAAGGCAATAGAAACAAAAAATAAATCAAGTGAAGTAAAGTGAAAGTCGCTAAGTCATGTCCGACTCTTTGAGACCCCATGGACTATATAGTCCATGGAATTCTCCAGGCCAGAATACTGGAGTGGGTAGACTTTCTCTTCTCCAGAGGATCTTTTCAACCCAGGAATTGAACCCAGGTCTCCTGCACTGCAGGCAGATTCTTTACCAGCTGAGACACAAGGGAAGCCCTAAATGGGATCTAATCAAACTTAAAAACTCAAGCTTTTGCACAGCAAAGGAAACCACAAACAAATGAAAAGACAACATAAACAATGGGATAAAATATCTGTGAACAATGCAACTGACAAGGGTTTAATTTACAAAATACATAAGGAGCTCACAAAACAACAAAAAACAAAACAGCCCAACTGAAAAATGGGCATAAGACCTAAACAGACCTTTTTTCAAAGAAGAAATACAGATGGCCAGTAGGCACATGAAAAGATGCTCATCATGGCTTATTATTAGAGAAGTACAAATCAAAACTACAATGAGCTACCACCTCACATCAATCAGAATGGCTTTAAAAAGTCTACTAATATCAAATACTGGAGAATGGCATGGAGAAAAGGGGGTCCTCCTACACTGTTGGTGGGAATATAAGTTGGTGCAGCCACTGTGGAAAACACGGAGGTTCCTCAGGAAACTCAGAATAACCATGTGATATAGCAATCCCACTCCTGGGCATATATCCAAACAAAGCTATAATTTAAAAAGATACATGTAAACCTATATTCAGAGCAGCACTATTCACAACAGCCAAGACACGGAAACAACCTAAACGTTAATTGACAGATGAATAAAGAAGGGTGTGTGTGTGTGTGTGTGTGTGTGTGTGTGTGTTTTTTTCCATGAGGCCGTTTGCAGCAACGTAGCTGGAAGTAGAGATCACCACACTAAGTGACTTAAGTCAGAAAGACAAAGACCATATGGTATCAGTTATATGTGGAATCTAAAATATGACACAAATGACCTCACCTGTAAATCCAAATCAGACTCATGGACATACAGAACAGACTGGTGGCCCCCAAAGCAGAGGGGTTGGGGAGGGCTGGAGTGGGAGGTTGGGGTTAGCAGATACACGCTTTTATATAGAGAATGGATAAGCAACAAGGTCCTACTGTATAGTGCAGAGAAGTATATTCAATATCCTATGATAAACCATAATGAAAAGAATATATAAGAATAACATATATGTCAATATATGTATAAATGAATCACTTTGTTGTACAACAGAAATTAACACACTGTAAATCAACTATACTTCAATAAAAACTACTGATCAGAAAAAAAAAAAACAATCTCATGTACAACTGCATCAAAAAGAACACCTAAAAACGAATAAAATACCTAAGAATAAAAGTGACCAAGGAAGTGAAAGACTTGTATACTGAAAAAGACAAAATAGTAAAGAAAGAAAACTGAAGAAGACACAAATAAATGGAAACATATTTCCTGATCATGGATTGCAATTCACGTTAAAATGTCCATACTACCCAAAGCAATTTACAGACTCAATGCAATCCTTATCAAAATTCCCATGGCATTTTTAATGAAACAGGACAAACAATTGTAAAATTTGTATGGAACCACAAAAGACTCCAAATAGCCAAAGTAATCTTGAGAAAGAAGAACAAAGCTAGAGGTATCATGTCCTCTGATTTCAAAATCTATTACAAAGCATAGTAATCAAAACAGCATCGTTTTGGTTTAAAAACACACATAGACCAATGGAACAGAACGTAGCCTAGAAATAAGCCCAGCCACCTCCGGTCGGGTAATTTACAGCGAAGGAGCCAGGAATGTCAAATGGGAAAGACAGTCTCTTTAATCAACTGCATTTAGAAAACTGACAACCACATTAAAAAAAGGAATAAAACTAGACCGCTGTCTTACACCATACACAAAGCTTAGCTCAAAATGGATTTAGACTTAAACATAAGACTTGAGACCAGGACGTCCTTGGTGGTCTAGTTGCTAAGACTCCACACTCCCAATGCAGGAGGCATGGGTTTGATGCCTGGTCGGGGAACTAGATCTCACATGCTGCAATTAAAAGATGGCGCGTGCCACAACTAAGAACCAGTGCAGCCAGACAAACAAATAAAACTGAGTATATCTTTAGAAAGACGTGAAACCATAAAACTCCTCTGAAGCAGACACAGGCAGTAAACTCCTTGACACAAGTATCTGCGATGCTTTTTTGTTTCTATTTATTAAAAAATGTTTGGTGATGATATTTTAAATCTAAAACCAAGAGTACAAGGAACAAAAGCAAAAATAAACAAGTGGAACTATGTCATACTAAAAGCTTCTGCATGTTAAATGTAACCATGGACAAAATGAAAAGGCAACATACTGAATGCGAGACAATATCTGCAAATCATGTATCTGATAAGGGGTTAATATCCAAAACATATAGAGAACACACAACGCAATAGCAAGAAAACCCCAAACAATTCAATTAAAATCTGGGCAGAAGATCTGAACACACATTTTTTCCAAAGATGACATACAGATAGCCAACAGGTTCATGAAAAGATGCTCAACATCACTAAACAGTAGGCAAGTCAAAACCACATGAGTTACCACCTCATACCTGTTAGGATGACTATATCAAAAAAAAAAAAAAAAGGAGAAATAACAAGGGTTGGTAAGGATGTGGAGAAAGGAGAACTCTGGTGTACTGCTGGTAGAAATGTCAACTGGTGCAGCCACTATGGGAAAGAGTGTGAGGCTCCATCAAAAACTTAAAAACAGAACTATCATTTGAGGGATTCCCTGGCAGTCCAGTGGTTAAGACTTCACATTCCAACAAAGGGGGTGTGGGCTCCCTCCCTGGCTGGGGAGTTAAGATCCCATATGTGACTTGGCCAAAAAAAAAAAAAAAAAAAGCCGCCAAAACATAAAGCAGAAACAACGTTGTAACAAGCTCAATGAAGACTTTAAAAATAGTCCACATCAAAAAAAAAAAAAGAACTACCATTTGAGCCAACAATTCCACTTGTGGGTATTCTTCCAAAAAAAATGAAAACACTATTTTGAAAATACATACACATTCACTGCATTCACGCCCGACGTTCACTGCAGCACTATCTGTAACAGCCAAGATGTGGGAACAACCTATGTGTCCATCATGGAAGAAAGGGCACAGGAATTGTGATACACACACACTCCAAGATACCAGATCCCCATAAAAACACTATAAAAAGGCAAAAAGATACGACACCGACAGACGAGTCCCCCAGGTCAGAAAGTGTCCAATATGCTACCGGGGAAGAGTGGAGGACAGCTACTAACAGCTCCAGAAAGAATGGAGCGGCTGGGCCAAAGTGGAAATGACACTTAACTGTGAATGTGTCTGGTGATGAAAGTAAAATCTGATGCTGTAAAGAACAGTACTGCATAGGAACATGGAATGTTAGGTCCATGAATCAAGGTAAACCGGGCATGGTCAAGCAGGAGATGCAAGAGTGAACATCAACATCTTAGGAATCAGTGAACTAAAATGGCCGGGAATGGGTGAAGTTAATTCAGATGACCACTGTATCTCCTCTGTGGGCAAGAATCCCATAGAAGAAATGGAGTGGCTCCCAGAGTCAACAGGAGTCTGAAATGCAGTACTTGGGTGCAACTTCAAAAATGACAGAATGATCTCAGCTTGTTTCCAAGGCAAACCATTCAGTATCACAGTAATCCAACCCCGATGCCGAAAAAGTTGAAGTTGATCAGTTCTGTGAAGACCTAGAAGACCTCCTAGAACCAACACCAAAAAAAGATGTCCTATTCATTATAGGGGACTGGAATGCAAAAGCAGGAAGTCAAGAGATACCTGGAGTATCAATAGGCAAGTTTGGCCTTGGAGTACAAAATGAAGCAGGGCAAAGGCTAACAGAGTTCTGCCAAGAGAATGCACTGGTCATAGCTAATACCCTTTTTCAACAACACAAGAGATGACTTTACACATGGACATCACCAAATGGTCAATATCAAAATCAGACTGATTACATTCTTTGTAGCCGAAGATAGAGAAGCTATATACAGTGAGCAAAAACAAGACCAGAAGCTGACTATAGCTCAGATCATCAGCTCCTTACAGCAAAATACAGGATTAAACTAAAGAAAGTGGGGAAAACCACTAGGCTAATCAGGTAGGACTTAAATCAAACCCCCGATGAATATACAGCGACTGAATTGAACTTGAAGTTACCAAAGACAAAGGTTTGAAACCTGGTTCCATACACATCTAGAAATTAAATTTCTTTGAGACTCGGCGCCCGATCGGGACCCAAGCCTGGTTGAGATGTCCATTGTCCATAAAGAGCGCTTAAGCCAGTGTCAGGCACAGAGCTGCTCCTCAATTAATTAACCATTGGATGAGACTCGTGAAGATGACTATCACGAGTATAGGCTGGGGCCCTGGTGCGAGCAAAACCACTGATGACCAATATTAACATAATATTCACACCGAACACGGGTAGCGCGCTTACCACGCGCCAGACACTGGAATGGTGCAACCATTTACTAATCCACTGAAGCCTCGAAACAAGCCTATATAGGTTCTATTACTATTTTCACGCCCACCGGCCACGCAGCTGCCACTGCCGTGAGAGACGTTATTGCGTGCTTATTACAATAATGAGCTCTTTACCTCCGTTACCTCCACCCATAACCCTCAAACCCTGAGCGTTAAAGAGAACAAATCGCGAGACTGGGGCTCGGGGAGGCTCCCACGGGCTTCAAGTTTGGACCCAGGACCGAGTCCGTCCTTACTTGGCCTCCTGGATGCGACGAAGCACGACTCCGCCCTCCACCTCGGGCTCGGCTCCCGGGGTCCCAGCGGCCGCCGCAGCCTCCCTCCGCTTCGGACGCCGAGCCGCCGAGCGCCTTCTCCGCGGAGATGCCGCCTGCCAGGCTTCTCGCGCCGCCGCCGCCGCCGCCGCCGCCATGGGCCTCCGACGTCACGGCGCGCTCGACCCTACGTCATCGGCGAGCGCCAGCCCTGCACGAACTTAAGGCGGGGGGAGGTAGGCTCAGGTGGCGCGTGACCCTGGGACCGCTCCGCAGCGCGCGTAGGTACCGGGCGGGAGTTGCTGGGACCATTGGGTCCCGAAGCCCGATCACCGACCCCGGGGCTGCCTGGCGACTCCGGCGGGTGGGCGGCGCTCGGCGGCGCAGGGACACCGAAAGCGGGGGGGGGGGGGGGGCACGGCGGAGAGCGCCTTCTGGGCGCCCCTCCGTGCTGTGACCCGGGCCCCGATTGACCCCTCGCCTTTTTGTCCACCAATGCCAGCTCCCTGAAGCTGAGGCCAGACACGTCTCCCTGCCACCTGCGGTTGGCCATCGCTTCCCGGCCCTTCGCGGTCGGTAGCGCCCCTTTGCCCGCTCTGCAGACCCTGAGGCCACACTTCATCGCCGCCCCGCCCCACCTCCAGGGACTTCTGTGGCCGCATCCCTACAGTTGCCTTACCCTTGGACCATTACCGGCCCCTTCTGGACCTTGCAGATAAGCGAGTGGACCTTGGCAGAGGACGGCCCAGTCCTCTGGGAACAAGGGATGGGGGTTTCAGGCTGCAGTCTGGCCCCAGGGGGCTTAGATACCGCCTCCATAGGCATCTGAATATACTTCGCAGATGCCATGAGTATGATCCTAGTGAGGCCCACCCCAAGATATCAAATGCTGAGAAAAGACAGAGGTTTTACAGGCCACCAAAGACTCAGTGGTGTCCTCTCTAGGGACATCTATCAAAGGAACTTGAAAAAACAAAACTCCCTTGTGTTCCCAGGAGGATGGCAGATGGTGAGCAAGCATTTGAAACCACGTCCCTGGGGACACTGAGCTTGGAGAAAGTGACAGTTGGTAATACAGATTTGAAGTGACCAAAGTATCAGACCTTGTTTTCTTTTCCTGGAGAGTGTGGCATTTACCTGAAGGCCAGTTTCAGCTTGGTGGAAGGATAAATTTAACACTGTCCTGTCTCTGGAGGGAGGAAGCCAGACAGTCAAGGTAGTTACTGAAGGAGACTACAAGAGAGGATTAAAGTGATGCCTGCATCCTTTCTCAGTTTGAAATTTCATGAGTTTTCTCTCTTCTTGTGGGAGTTTGAATGTCACTTGTTAAATTCTCTGTCTTTTGGAAACACGCCCAGCTCTGGGCATTTAGATTACTTTTGTTTAGATTACTTTTGGGGCTGTCGAGGTGACAGTTCCTTAATCTGAGTTCCATTATTAGTACAGCAGCTGCTTCATTTGTATCGCTGTGCTCAACACCCAAAGCTTTTTCACACCGGTTATTTAATCTTATCTTACGTGTGACATCACTTTTACAAGTTAACTGTTGGACTTACTCTGAGGTTTTGCTCCCCTCTCTTTTGGATCTTGAAACACACTTCAACTTTCTGGAAAGCTCTTTTGAAGCGTACCATTTGCTTGGCTCTGCTGGGTCACATGCTCACTCATGGGATTCTGAAATAATCTATGCCTTGTGTTTATTGTAGGGCCAAGGGACTGATCTTTGAACGGGAAGCTTCAAACTTTAAAAAAGAAGCCTTCAGAATGGCTTTGAAGAAGACAAGCTAGACACTGCTTCAGAGCACCGCCTTCAGCATGCATCTCGCCTGTCCAGGGGCATCCCTGGTGAGGAGCTCTTTGAAGGGTTCATTTCGCAGAGGGCCAGAGAGCTGATGCTCATGGAACCAGATTGGTGGATTTGACTTTCTGGAACAATCATCTTGCTTTATTTTATTCTTTCTGAGAGGCTGGAGGTACTGATGGGACAGAAGGGCCTGCGGGAAAGGGAAGCAGCACTTTCATGCTGAATGAAAACTAGACAAGTGACTGCTGGCGTCTGAAGACACCTAGACGCCCCACATCCAGATTCAGCAGACTGGGGACCCGGAGGAGTTGCCACTGCTGGCGAGAACAAAGCCAGGCTGGAAAAGAAAACCCAAGTGAAGAGAATGAGGGCCAGTGGAGAGTAAATGGCGGCCTCCACCTCCACAGAGAGCCAGTTGGCCTCCTGGTGAGTAGCAGGGCCTGCGGGTTAGTTCCTGCCAGGCTGCTGGACAGGTGTTTTGGGTGAACTGAAAATCCCCAACTGGATGTCTAGATTTAATTAAGTGGGGGGGGAGCCATTTTCCTCAGAGCCACTAATCAAGAGCCATTTCTCTCTGAGGCGGATGTGTTGTGACCACACAAGCCTCTTGCAGGATCTAGCAATGCTGGTAGATTGCAGAAAGGATAGCTGTGGCTGGATTCTGCAGTTGGGCCGTGACAGTACCACAGGCAATTGAGTCCTCACTTTTGACAGACAAGCAGAGGTGGCCGCGCAGAATTTCACAACGGGGAGAGGTTTGGCCAGACTGGCTCTTGAAGGGTATTCCACATCTGCCTGAAACTCTCCTCAACCCTAAATGGGTTAAGCATGTCTGAATTTGGTTCAGTGAATGTTAAATCGAGGAGAGGAAAGTGAGAGGCGTGGTTTCAAAAGAATGAGCACGGTTTATGACATAACACGTGTACAGTTCAGACGAGATCGGGCGCGTTCAGGGTGGTATGGCTGTAGACGCATGTGCAATTCAAAAGGACACTCAAATGTTCTTTGTGGGCCTGTCACGAGTCGGGGCACTTTCACCCAGGGAACATGAGGAAAAGGTGGAATGCAGCCCAGCAGTGGGGTTTCATTCATTCATTCATCTGTTTATTTACCTATAAGCTTCTAGTTCACTGACATAATTGACATTCAGCACTGTAACTCACATAATCATGAAAAGATTACAGTAAGTTTAGTGAGCATCCATCATCTCACACAGATACAAAACGAAAAATTTTTTCCTTGTAATGAGAACTCAGGATTTACTCTGTTTAACAACTTTCATATATAACATACGGCAGTGTTAATTACGCTTATCATACTGTACATTACACCAGGGCTTTGCTGGTGGTTCAGCAGTAAAGAATCCTCCTGCCAATGCAGGACATGTAAGAGATGCGGGATCTATCCCTAGTTTGAGAAGATCCCCTGAAGGAGGAAATGGCAACTCACTCCAATACTCTTGCCTGGAAAATCCCAGGGACAGAGGAGCCTGGCGGGCTGCAGTCCACGGGGCCACAAAAGAGTTGGAGACAGCGTCAGCGAGTAAACAACAGCAACAACACGTTACAACCCTAGTACTGTTTATAACTGGAAGGTTGTACCTTTTGACCACCTTCATCCGATCCCCGCTTCCCCCACCCCCTGCTTCTGATAACCACAAAGCCAGTCTTTTTCTATGACATTTTGTCTGAAGCATAACTGACGGATAACACTGTACCCAGCACAGTGATATGCCATTTCTGTACGTTACATCACAAGAGGCTCACCACCCGGCAGTGGGCTTTCTGAGCGGCGCCCGAAGCATTTTTGATTTGCTCTTGCCCTGAAGCCGGTGGCACATCGAGATCTGGAACTCAGGCAAGCAAAACGTGCTGGAAACAGTTACGGCTTGTCATGGGGAGGATAAGGTGGGGGCCAGGGAGGGCGGCGGGGGGAGGGTGAGATTGGGGAGAAGAGTGCAGTCAGTGCCCTGGCCTGACAGGCGTGCTTTCAGAGACTGAGGCTGAACCCAGCGCCAACCTGGGGAGTTTGCCCTGTGGTCTTAAGGAGATGATTATAGCCACACCGCAGAAGAGATCCTGAGTCTTCAGGGAAGAGCAGAGGGTTGTGGGAATTGAGAAGAGCTTCCCCTGCAGAGAGGCAGTCAGAAGGTTGATGAGGGATCCTGTCAAAGGAGGGTGAGGCTTCTAGTTTTTGTTTTGTAGGTTTTTTGGCTGAGCCAGGTGGCATCCGGGATCTTAACTTCCTCAGCCAGGGGTTGAACCTGCACCTGCTGCAGTGGAAGCGCGGTGTCTTCACCAGCAGACCCCCAGGGAAGTCCTGGGGACTCAGGCTTCGGCAGGCAGAGAGGGGTGCGGCGCCCCCACTTTCCCAGTATAGACGTGCTTTCCTGCCTGGAGACTACATGTTTCCTGTGTCCCTTTGCTCGCCGTGGCCCCAGGGCTGGCGAACGCAGCACATGCCCCAAGCCCTCGGCCAAGTGTGTGTTAAGCGACAGGGTGGCGAAAGGTGGTCTCGTGCCCAGCAGCTGTGAGGGCAGCTGAGACATCCCTAACTTACTTCGTTATCAGTGTCTTAGAAGACATGTTACCAAACCACATGGGTACGGAGTTAAGGTGCAGTGTCTCAAATAAGAGGCGTCGTTGTGGGCGCCCCATCTTTCCTTAGCTGCTCGCTGTCTTTTGGGGCAGAGGGTCAGATCGCTGGATGGAGGCGTGTGTTTAGCTTGAGTTGGCTGCACTTACAAAATGGTCTTATCTCTTTGTAGCTCTCGGCTTCCTTCTCCTCTGGGGCCCCCAGAAGGCTTTTCAGATACTGAGGCGTGAGTCCCTCTTGGGCTGGGCCACTGGAAGCTGCGTGTTACGAGGCCCTGCTCACGGGATGGAAGAGAACACAGCTCCTCTCTCTTCTCTTGGCAGGTGGAACTATTTTTTCCTCTATGATGGTTCCCAGGTGAAGGGAGAAGGAGATCCAACCCGAGCGGGCATCTGTTACTTTTATCCCCCGCAGGTAAGCCACTCGGCTCACTCGGTGGGGACCCCCATCGCCTTTCAAAGGGTTTATAGCTGGACAGTTTTCTTCGCAAAATCCAGGCATTTGCCACTTTTACTCTCTCATTGTTTATTTCTTTATTATTATTACTTTGGCTGCACTGGCTCTTTCTGCTGCACACAGGCTTTCTCTGGTTGCACCAGGGGCGGCTCCCCTCTAGCTGTGGTGCGCAGGCTGCTCATTTCGGTGGCTTCTCTTGTTGCGGAGCATGGGCTCTAGAGCATGGGCTTCAGTAGTTGTGGCACATGGGCTCCATGGTATGTGGTATGTAGTTGCTCCAAGGTATGTGGAATCTTCCGGGCCAGGGATCGAACCCACGTCCCCTGCATTGGCAGGCAGATTCGTAACCACTGGCCCACCAGGGAAGCCCTGCTCCCTTACTCCTAGCTGTATTCTTTATTGCTATTCTGATGTTGAAATGCCCAAGCCAGCAGCCCAGTACTTCCACCTTCTCTACCTGTCTGTTACCGTCAGCGATTTTCTGTCTGCTCCGTTGGGGGGTGGGGGGAGGGGGGAATCTTTTCTCCAAACATATACCAGAGTAAAGAGAAGTGAGTTATCAGCTGTTGTGTGCCTGACTTCAACAAAGATCACCACCTGACCAGTCTGTTACGAGCTATCCTAACTCCTCCCTACTCTTTTTTTTTTTTCCTGGAGCATTTGAAGCAGATCCTAGACATAGTGTCATCTCACCAGCATCAGGGAACATCTGTAACTGGAAAGGGTATATTTTGTTAACATCCCACTCAGCAAAAATTACCGTAATTAGTGACAATAATACCACCTTGTATAGCCTGTGTTCACATTTTGCCTTTATTATCTGAGATGTTACTTAGCCCTTCCTTCCCTCCCGCTTTCTCTCTCTCCCGCCCTTTTCTCCTAATCAGCCTCTAAACAAGAGCCACAAGCCCGTGTGGCTGTGTTTCAAGTCCCTCCTATCATATGACACTGCTCACCCACTCCCCCCATCCTTTCTCCCCCTGCGCCACTGAATTCCTGAAGACACCAGGTCCCTGATGCAGGAGAACTTCAGCACATGTCCTGCTCTGGACTGGGCTGGTCACTTCCTCACAAGGGGATCATTCAATGCTTTCTGCCCAGAGCCTTTCCTTTAAACTAGCAGGAGGATCTAAAGACTTGACTGGGTCCAAGTTCAGCCCTTTGAGGCATGAGTTCTCCATTTTCTGTGGCTTCACGTGCCATCTCCCCTGGGGGGTTTAGTTAATGCGAAGGTGGATCTGGAGGCCTGTGTGTTTGCTCATGTGATTACGCTCTGACTTGCAGACCGGGGATTAGTCTGCACCACTCCAGTCTCTCCATGGGGATCTGAATGGGGGTAAATGCTCAGGCCTGTGATCTTGGAACAGGAATGCTGTTCTGGGCAGTCATCTCCTGCGCTCACTGTGGGCGTTCTGTGACAGTCCGGGCAGGGTTCGGCCAACTTGGCCTCAAAAGGGCCAGTGCTTTAGGCTTTGTAAGCAAAGGTCTCTGTCACATGTTCTTCCTTGTTGTTATTTTGACAACCCTGACAAAACCATAAAAGCCACCCTGGGCTCACAGATTATAGAGAAACAGGCGGCAGAGTCGATCTGGCCTCCGGGCTGCAGTCTGCCACCCCGGCTCTGAGGAATGACCTGGGAGTTCAGGACCTTCAGCCTCATGTCTGGACTGGCTCCTCTCCCCAGACCCTGCTGGACCAACAGGAGCTGCTGTGTGGACAGATCGCCGGGCTTGTCCACTGCGTTTCTGACCTTTCTGGCTCTCCTCCCGCCCTTGTCCGCCTGCGGAAACTGAAGTTCGCTGTAAAGGTTGACGGTGATTACCTCTGGGTGAGTTTGCCAGGCTGAACCAGTGCCGGCGGGGTCGCCTCTACCAAGAGGCTCTTGTCTTGCTGAGTGGCGTCAGGCCGGCGGGGCTTACACGGTAACCCTCGCCGTGGCTCCTGAGCCTGCAGCTCGTCCCCTGCCTCTGTCATCCACGATGCCCGCGTCCCTCTCCGCAGGTGCCGTTGGAGCCGAGCGCTCTCCCAGACATCACTGTCACAGCCTGCATTCCACAAGGCGGCGTTCGCCTCACTTCTAAAAGACTTGGGTCCTCCTGTGGATGTTCTCTGTGCTCTGTGATGCAAATTGAGTTTTTAATCTCCGTCTTTTCTTGTTTCCGTTCTTCCCTGTACCTCTCACACTCACTGGGGAAGGGAGCTCGACACTTGAAGACACTGGTGCACGTAGGTTAGGCTTCTGAGGACCATCAAGGGGAAAAAACAAGACAGACCCACTTACAGGTAGTAGTACCCTTTACTCTCAAATCCCGTTGTCTCCTGCTTACTCTTATTTTAAATTTGTTCCCAAGGGAAAGGGATGCCTAACTGTGAGGAAGTATCTTTGCCTTTATAGGTATTATTTCCAATGTTTTATTGTAAAAATTTTCTAACATACCAAACAGTTGAAAGAACTATATGGTGAACACTCACATACCTCTTAGATTCTACAGTAAACCCTTCATTATGGTTGCTTTATCACATACTATCTATTCATCCCTTTATCCTCTATTTTAACGCTTTCTGAAGTTGCACATGTGAGTATACACCTTACCGCCTGGCCCCAAGTATGTCATCATGCTGAACGTTAACTAGAGTTCAATATGTGTTTGTTGTTCTTCTGCTCTTTTTTGAGGTAAAATTCATTTACATGCAACGAAATACACAGATCTTGAGTGTATTTGGTGCATTTGGATAAATGGTGCACCTGTGTAACACAAATCCCTATCAAGATACAGAATATATTAGCGTCACGCCAGGAAGCTGCCTTATGTCCTTAATTCCATCCCCTCCCCCTGCATCCCAGGTAGCACTATTCGGAGTGTTTCCACCAAAGAAGAATTCTGCCTGTTCTAGGGTGTCATGTAAGTGGAATAATGCCCGCAGCACTCCTCTGTCCTGCTGCTCAATGTTTGTGGGATTCATCCCCGTTGCATGGATCCACGGTGCGTCCCTGTTTATCACTGAGCAGTATGCCACAGTTTAACGTATCGGTCCACTTAATCATTCTTTTTCTGGACACAGGAACTTTGTCCAGTTTGGGGCACGTAAGATTAATAAGAGTCTAGAGAAATGAGTATCAAAACTACAATGAGGTATCACCTCACACCAGTCAGAACAGCCACCACCAAAGGTCTGCCAATAACGAATGCTGGAGAGGGTGTGGAGAGAAGGGAGCCCTCCTGTATTGTTGGTGCAAACGTAAATTGGTGCAGCCACCGTGTAAGAGAGGGCTTCTCAGGTGGCGCTAGTGGCAAATAGCCCACCTGCCAGTGCAAGAGACGGAGCGATGTGGTTTGATCCCTGGGTCAGGCAGATCCCCTGGAGGAGGGTATGGCAATATTCTTGCCCGGAGAACACCATGGACAGGGGAGTCTGGCGGGCTACACTCCATAGGGCTGCAAAGAGTCAGACATAGTGAAGCGACTTGGCGCTCATGCACTGTGTAAAAACACAGAGGCTCCTCAGAAAACTGAAAATAGAATTACCAAATGATGCAGCAGCCCCACTCCGGGGCATATATCCAGACAAAACTCTAATTCAGAAAGATACGTGACTTCTCTGGTGTCCAGTGGCTAAGACCCCACACTCCCAAGGCAGGGGGCCTGGGTTCGATCCTTGGACAGGGAACTAGATCCCACATGCTGCAACTAGAGATTCCACACGCTACAACAAAGATTGAAGATCCCAAGTGCCACAACTAAGGCCTAGTGCAGCCAAATAAGTAAAAAAGGGGCAGGGGAGACGCGTGCACCCCTGTGTTTAGAGCAGCACTGTTTATAATAGCCAGGACATGGACAGTGTCCATTGACAGGTGAATGGGTAGACAGGATGTGGTACATTATACACAGTGGTATACTACTCAGCCATAAAAAAGGGTGAACTAATGCCATTTGCAGCAACACGGATCAAACGAGATTATCATACTAAGTGAAGTCAGTCAGAAACTAAAGTTGGAAAGACAAATAACACATGATTATCACTTACACGTGGAATCTAAAATATGACACAAACGAACGTCTGCAAAACAGAAACAGTCTCACAGCTATAGGGAACAGACTTGTGTTTGCCAGGGGAGAGGAGGTTAGGGGAGGGAAGGATTGGGAGTTTGGGAGCAGCAGATGCAAACATATTGGATGGATAAACAGGGCCCTTCTGCAAAGTAAAGGGGAAATAGACTCCATATCCTGTGATAAACAATGGAAAACAATCTGAAAAAGAATATATATGGCCTCCCAGGTAGTGTTGGTGGTAAAGAACCCGCTTGCCAGTGCAGAAGACATTTGTTTGATCCCTGGATTGGGAAGATCCCCTGGAGGAGGGCATGGCAACCCACTCTACTATTCTTGCCTAGAGAATCCCATGGACAGAGGAGCCTGGTGGGCTACAGTCCATAGGGTCACAAAGAGTTGGACATGAGTGAAGCGACTTAGCACGCGCACACATGTATAACTGAATCACGTCGCTGTATAGCAGAAATTAACAACATTGTAAATGAACTACACTTCAGTAAAATAACTTTAAAACGAAAGGGTAAGGCTCTAAAAACATTCCTATATAAGTCTTTCTGTGAACATACATTTCCCTTTCTCATGGGTAAATACCTAGGCATGGAATTGCTGGGTCATAGGGCAGGTGTGTGTTGATTTTATAAGAAACCGCCAGACATTTGCCCAAAGTGGTTGCACCATCTTGCATTCCCACCAACAGTCTGAGAACGCCAGGTACTTCACACCCTCATCAGCAGACGTGTCAGTCTGCTTATTCACAATTTTAGCCATTGAGCTGGATGTGAGGTGGTGTCTGAACAGGTGTTAATTTGCATTCTCCCCCCCCCCCCCCACCATGACCAGGGCTTTTTCATGTGCTTCGTGGATACTTGGGTATCTTCCTTTGAGATACTTTCTCCCAGTCTGTGGGTGTGCTTAAGTTTCTTAGTAATGTCTTTTGATGAGACATTTTTTAGTTTTAATGAAGTCTATCAGTTTTATCTTTTACGATTATTGCTTTCTGTATCCTGTCTAAAACCACTGCCTACCTCATTGGAGAAGACATTCTCCAATTCCGGGTTGAGGCAGGCAGGGAGGGGGAGCACGTTTCATAGTGGTAGCTTTTAAATTTAGGTCTGTAATGCACCTTGGATAAATCCTTGTGACTGGTGTGAGCAGAGGTCAAAGGGCCTTTTCTCCTTGTGGATGTCCCATTGTTCTAGCACCACTGTTGAAAATCTTGCTTTTGCCTATTTGCTTCCTGGGGCTCCTTTGTTGAAGCTCAAAGGACCATTTAAGGGCGGCTCTGTTTCTGGGCTTGCTGTTCTCTCCCACTGACCTTTCTGAAGATTCTGTACACGTACTGCTCCGTCTTGATGTCTGCAGCTGTAGAATCAGTCTTAAAATCAGACGGGGAAAATCCTCCAGACTCACTCTTCTCCGAGACAGTGTGTGATACTTTCAGTCCTCTGTATTTCTGTTGCAGAATCAGTTTGTCAGTCTCTGAAGGAAAGATGGTCAGATCATTAGGATTTCTTTCAAATCTGTAGATAACTGGGGGAGAAGTAAACACTTAACTGGGTGCCAGACTGTTGACGGCACTTGAGTGGAGCTTACGTTCAGAGCATAAAAGTTTGTTTACGTGCTTTCGTTCAGAGTTGGTTTGTTTAAGTTTCTGATGGTTCCCTTAGGAGAGATTCCTCGGTAGAATTACTGAGTCAAAGAAGATGAAGTTTTTTTCAAGCTCCTTAAACAGAGGACCAAATTACTTCCTAAGTAAGCAAATGTCTATTGTCTGTGGAACAGAGCACTGCCACACTCCGCGCTGGTGCGACGATGCCCTGGGTGCAGGTTCTGGAAGCGCCCCATCTGGCTGGATGGCCTCTCCTAACAGTCTGGATTCCATGTTTGCTGTGAAACCCAAATGAAACATCCAGTGTCTGAATAACAGTGCTGACCATACAGGGGTTCAGGAGAGAGGTCACGGGTGGCTGGAGTGATGACAGGCAGCTTGGGGGTGCTGGAATCTGTGTGTGGCGGTGGGGGGACTGTGGAGGGTGGGAATGCCCAGGCAGATAAACAGGAAGTGGGGATGATTCCAGCTCAGGTGGCATGAGTGGGTTGAAAACACACCTGTTTCCCGTGGAGAGCAGGTGGCTGGGGGACGGTGTGGGGCTGCCCACAGAGGATGGGTCTCCAGGGGCCCGTGGAGTCTGGCTTAGTGAGCCCTGGGTACCAGGACTCCGCGAACAGGAAAACGCTGTCGTCCTCTGCAGGTGCTGGGCTGTACCGTGGAGCTCCCCGACGTCAGCTGCAAGCAGCTTCTGCACCAGCTCATTGGCTTCTTTCATTTTTACAATGGGCCCGTGTCTCTGGCCTACGAGGTATCAGGGAGGCTCATGTGGAGCCTCTTTAGCAAAACCAATGCTGCCCGGGCACATCCGGGCAGCAGGAACCCTTTACACAAACATGTCGTGTCAGCGACAGGGCCGTGGACCCCCGGAACCCTCCCGGATGCCTTTCTTCCCCCCGTGGCCCTGTGGGGGGCTGGGGCCCCTGCTGGAGCACATGTCGGGATCGCGGGTGCTGACGCCGGCTACTCTGTTTCAGAGCCGCCCACGGGAAGACCTGCGTGCCGAGTGGGACCCGCTCATCGAGCACATCCTGGGGAACACGGGTGACCTGCACAAGATCTTCAACTGCCTCTGGCACCTGGACCGGACCAAAGTAACTGGCTCAGCCCCCTGCCCGCCGCGTGGATGGGAACTGGGCTTCTGGACACGGGTTCTTCCCCTTCGATGAGCTATCCCTCCATCCCCGTGGCTGTTAAGAACTCAGGTTCCAGGCGGTGCTTGCCAGCCGCGTGGGATGGGACCAGTCAGGTCACCTGTCTCAGCCTCGCTCTCCTTACCCATGGAGCGGCGTGACACCCGCCTCCCAGGACTGTTCTGGGGCTGAAACTGGGACAGTTACATAAAGGATAGATGCCCAGTAAAGAGTGTTACTGCTTTATTAATGCCCAGACGTGCTGAACTCAGCAATCTGAAGGCCCCCTCCTCAGCATTATCATTAGTTATTCTCGACATCCAGAAGGGCCCAGGGTGGCCGCTCTCTAGGATGGGGGGCTGGGCGGGGTCTGACCCTGATCTGTCGCCTCGGCACGTGGTGACGGGAGGCCACCTGCACTGCTGTGGGCTGGTGGCCTTGGCGGACGTCACATCCTCAGACGGCGGGGGGAGGTGCGAGCGGCGCTGTGAGGAGTCCTCCCCACGCCCTGAGCATCTCAGGGGCGGGACCTTCCACCACGCGTGGCCTGTGTCTCTGCGGGCGTGGACCGTGTCCCTGTTACCGGGGTGCGGCACCTGCTCAATGCTAGAAACCAGGACGAGTTTTCCCGCTCCTGTTTGGAGGGCTTCTTGGGAGTCGGCCCAGAGCTTTCCGAGTGGCCGTGGAAGAACTAACGGCCCATGGTAAGGGCTCCAGCGTGGCTCCTTAACTCTCAGTGCTGACCGCTCCCGGGTACCGCAGGTTCCGGCTGCCAGGCAGGAACCTGTAGGAGGCTGCTGGTCACTGCTGGCCCTTTGTGAGCAGGTTCAGATCCTCTGCCTGTCCCTTTAGGGGTTTTTTTACAAGGACTGAGGACTGAGACGTGTACCCCCGCGTGAAAGGCTGCAGTGCTCCCATTTTCCCTTCTGGCAGAATTAGGGGACCGGGTCAGACGGCAGGCCAGCTCATCACAGGGGCTTGGGCTGCAGGGGAGGGTGGGTTCACCATGACCTGAATCTAAGGGGCGCGCTCTCCCCTGCGACTGCCTCCTGGTCTCTGCACCGCCGCTCAGGGTCTCCTTGGCGATGTGCACAGTCGCATGTGAAGAGCCATATGCCCAATTCTCTCTGCCTCCTGGCTTCAGGGAGGCGCCCTGGTGCCAAGCACCTGGCATTTTGTGGTGGCAGCCACGTGGGGTGTCAGAGGCGTGACGCGGCCGCTGTGCGGCACACCCTCCCTCCAGGCTTGGGCTCTGAGCGGCCCGCCTGCCCTCCGTGGCCCCCTGCCTGTCCCCTCTTGCCCACGGGGACGTGCCGACCGGGGCCTGCCTCTCGCCCCCACAGGTGGAGCCCCTGCTCCTGCTCAAGGCGGCCCTCATCCTGCAGACCTGCCAGCGCTCGCCCCACGTGCTCGCCGGCTGCATCCTCCACGCGGGACTGTGAGTCGTGCCCCCACCCCCCCATCCCCGCCCCCACTGCAGCCCTGACCACCCGGCCACCTCCTGATCGGGGCGGGGCGCCGAGAGCTCTGTGTGTGGCCAGTTCCCGGCAGTCTTGTTTGGCAACTTGAGGGTAGTTTAGATTCAATTGAGGGTCCCTGCCTGTCCCTGGGGAACTGGAAGCTGTTGTGTCCAGAGAAGAGTTAGGAGTGCACGAGGCGGCTTTGCAGAGATCCACGCAGCTCCCAGCTGGGCCATGCCTGCGGAGTGGTCGGTCTCCGGCCCCCAACACTGTCTGGAGAGGGGTGTGAGGCCCACAGCGGCCCCCCTGCCGCCCGGGGCCCCAGTGCACCGGCCGTGGCTCTTGCTTGGGCTCCTGCAGCAGCGTGGCTGGGCCCGCCTCAGGCTAGCCTCACGGAGGTCTCACTGCGTCTCTTTGCCCAGTTGGAAGGCCTCCTAGAGCTTCTGGGAGCCCTCCACACCTCCTCTGGGCCTCGAGGAGGCTCGGCTGTCCCAGCCGAAGGCAGGGGAGCCGGTGCTGTGTGTCCAGCACTCTCTGACCCTGGAGGGATGTGCCCTGGAGAAGCCCTCCCAGCACCTCAGGAATGTTCTTGGTACAAGTCAGTCCAAGCGTTCAGACATTTAAAACTTTGATGAGAACAGCCAGAGGGCCCCCGTGAGTGCCTCCAGGTGATATTCCCACCAGCTGTGTCCCCCAGATCCGAGCTGCCACGGGTGCTGGGACTGTTTCGATGCCGAGTCCTGACTGTTTCTTCTCCTGTGTCCTGGTTCCTATTTCTGACCTCCCAGGATCGTCAGCACCCAGCTCCCGCCCTCCGTCACGGCCAAGGTCCTGCTTCATCGCGTGGCACGTGGGGACCAGGTAGCAAGCCCCCCTCCCCACCCCCGCCTAGCAGGGATGTGTCCCCCAGCGAGTGTCTTTGTGTCGGGCAAGGCTGACCACCAGCCCTGGTGGTGGCGGCAGCTGCTCTGTCCTCCTCAGGACGCCCCGTCCATCCGTGTGGTCCCCCTCAAGGGAGGTCCTGGCAAAGCTGGAAGAAAGTGTTCTCTCCTGCGTGGTCAGCCTGGGTGGTTGGCTTTTCTCCCATCCAGGTGGAACTGAGAGAATGTGACTTCCCGCAGGGTGGGCTTTATGTCAAAGTGATGTTGGATTGTTTTCAGAGAGAGACTGTAAAAGATGGCTTAGGACAACAGCAGCTTTTAAAATACTTCCATCTTATATTTACCTAATTGTTTTTATAATGAAGGAAAAGTCATAATGTGCTCATTGTGGATAAACCTTCCCACAACTGGGCCACATAGAGGTAATCACCACTAGCATTTGGCACGTATCCTTGGAGTTCTGTTTTCTTTTGTTTTACGAGTTGATTCTTAGTGTGTGAAACTGGTTTTAAATCTGTCGTGAAGCTACTTTTCTGTACTTGCTAAGTCAGCAGACATTTAAAAACACACGTGCAGCTCTCTTCCAGCTCCTTCTTACTGTGGTGCAGGCATCATGAGAACACCCTTCCTGGTGAACTGTCTGATGAGGAGAGGGTGGAGGGGGTCTTTTCGTTTTTCCCCGTTGTTCAGCTCTGGGAGTCAGTACTAAGGAAGTTATCCGACTGCTGGAAAAGGTTTATACTCAAAACGCTGGTCACAACAGGGTTTATGAAAGTGAAAAATCAGGTTATCACTTAGACATCTCAGGTAGGAGCTGTGAGCTTAGGGCTGCAGGCCGGTTGCCTGCCGTGTTTTCTCGGCCTGCTTTCCAGCCGCAGCTGCAGCTTGAGGGGCTGGACAGAGACCTACAGCCGCAGAGCCCCAAACACCGACTGGCCCGCCCTTTCCAGACAGGTTGCTGGTGGTGGTCTCAAATCGGGAAGTGATGAATTCTCCCGCACCACGGTAAACTTCCTAAGATTTTAGTCAGCCGTCGAAAATGACCAAAGATGCTTTCATGACAGAAACTGTGAGTCCCTCTTGCGAGCAGAGAAACAGAATTTTATGTAATGTGTCCTCAAAGTATTTCAAAAATGCACAGACTTTACAGGAAAATGTGCCCTGTGTTCACAGGATTGGCTTGTGGGCGAGGGGATTCCGTGTGATTTTTTTTGAAAAGAATTTTTGTCTGGAGTTAGCTTCTGTGAAGGAAACCACATCCTTTCAGAGGAGGCCAAATCATTTTGGCTAGAAGAGCAGTTTTTGGTTTTCCTCTCGCTTTGCTGGGTCCTTTCGGTGGAGACGGCCGGAAAGCTCTTTTGAGGAGACTCCCGGGTTTCTCACCTTGGTTGTAAGTGCGGAGGCGAGCCGGCCTCGCCTCGGGTTTAGGCCAAGCCCTTTGCTGTGAGGGTCACAGGCCCCCCACGCTGTTGTCATAAGGGGATCTGTGTGGGCTCCAGCCAGCGCTGTGGCAGACGTGGCCGTATTCCAGATGACTTCTCTAGAGGTCTGAGAGCGCAGGAACACTCGCCGTCATTCCCCGAGAGGCCGGAGCGGAAGGAAGCCCGGTGTGCGCCTGGGTGGCGTGGCCGCCTCAGCCGGCGTGGCCCCAGCCCCGGTGGGGAGCAGGCAGCCTGGGGGGATGTGTTCCACCTGCTCTGCTGTGGGCGAGCGGCCGGGCCCAGCACCCCAGGCCTTGGCCACGTTTCAGGAGCAGATGGCAGCGCATGGTCCCGATGGGTAGGTCGGGGGAGCAGGCGGTGCCCCGCACCGACTCCTGTCTGTCTGTTTTCAGAGGAAACCCACAGAGGAAACCCTGCAGGAGCATGGTGAGTAGTCGGGTGTCCTGTCACGTCTGGGAAATGGCCCTGTAAGCGGCCTGGCCCCGTCCAAGTCACGTGGAAGGCCGAGCAGTCCCATACGGTTATCCCGTCGGCTCGTGAGATCAGGGAAATAATTAACAGCGCTGCAAGGGCAAAGTTACTCTGAAAATCCCAGTTGTAAAGGCTCCGATTTTAGGCACAGCTTTTAAATCCCCCCCTTTCAGATCCTTCTCAACCCTCAGCACCAGGAAGCTGCTCAGATGAGTTCCAGAAGGTGACGATGGGGAGAGGGTGGCGGCAGGGCCACTGCCAGGAAGAGCTTTGGCAGCCGAGGGGGATTTAATTTGAAGCCTAAGTTCGGGCAGACCCCTGTGGTCAGTTACCAGCGCTTTTGATCCAGGTCCTGTCTTTAGTGCCCGTCAGTTTTCTTCCACCAAACGTCCCTCTGGGAGCAGAGTGGCCCACGTGGGCTTTTCCTGCTGATGGCAGAAACCGTAGTTGCAGCTTTGTGGCTTCTGTTCTGGGGGCCGGAGCCCAGAGCTGCTCACTGGGCTGGCCTGCAGGCTGGAGGCATCGCCCCAGGAATACTTCCTGCCCCCCTCCCCGTCGTCTCCGGTCCAGAGAGGGCCCTGGCCACGTTGCTCTGCACTTCTAGGAGTGGCGTTCCCTCCCAACGTCCAGATCACACCTGTTTTCCTGACTGAAGAGGAAGCTGCCAGTCTCCGCGAGTTCCCCCGGGAGCCCCCGGCCAGGTAAGGGGGCTCACAGAGGCTCCTCTGAACCCACGTGTCGGGCACTCCCTCACACCGGCTCATCCAGAAGCCCCGTGCAGCCCATCCTCCCACGATTCCCTCTTCTCCATTCTCTGCCCTGGCCGGGGCGGGGGCGATGGAGAACTGGACCTTCAGCAGAGATGAGGGGCATCTGGCAGAATGAGACGAGCATAGGTTTCAGATCTGAGATCCGTGGCTTACCTGCTCTGTGACCATGGGCGAGTCCATTCCCTGCCCGAGCCTCAGTTTTTCCATCTGTAAAATGGATCCAATAATGTCTGCGTCTCGGGTTCATCATGAAAGGTGGAGACAGCACATGTGCAGCACCCCATATAGGACCAGACTCACAGTTCACCCCCAGACGTGGGCGCCTCTGATTCAGGGGGCTCTGCCACTTCCAATGGATGATCCTGGTGTCACCACGTGACACCACATGGCGCCAGTGCCCATTATTTTTAGGGAAGCGCTGCTTCAGTCTCCCCCGGGGCAGGGCCTTTGCCCACCCTCAGTCACCTGTCCTTCCTCACCAGCACTCCGGCGTCTTCAGCCAGACTCCAGGAGCCCTCAGCTGCCCCGAAAGAAAACGCCCCCGGACACGTGGGATCCAAGGCTCAGACCTCGACAACCACACCTGCACCCCCGTCTCCTGATGCCGCCTGGGCAGACAGCACCAGGGAGAACGGACACCGGTCCGACCCTGGCCTGGCGAGCACGCTGCCCACGGCGCTGCACCGCGCTGCCGCGGGCAAGGGTATGGGTTTGTTCGGGGGGAACGGGGACCTGGACTTGTCTGAAATCCACATCCCAGAAACTCAGAAAACAGAAGCATCCCTGAACCATCCTGCTGCAGACGGCAGGGGTCCTGGTTGCAAGGAATCTGTCCACGACCCCGGCAGTCCCGGAGCCAAGCCGCCTGGGTCCCTGCCCCTGGGCTGCCTGCCCGCCTCTGCTCCTGAGGCAGTCCCCCAGAATGGAGCCCTCACGCAGCCCGCAGACCTTCCTGGCGACCTGGAAGACCCCGGCAGGACGAGCGGGCCTGGGCGGGCACCTTGCTTGGATTTGAGGCAGAGGCGCACCCAGCTGCCCGTGGAGGAACAGAGCAAGGATCAACGCGGCAGTGGGGCTCCCGAGGGCCGCTTGACCCTCGGCCCGGACTTAGCAGACCCCTCAGACGAAGGCCCCTCTGCAGACAGAACCGCATCCAGGGTGAGCCCGGCCTCCCGCGAGGGGCTCGTGCGGATGAACCTCTACACGCACAGCGTCAAGGGCCTGGTGCTGTCGCTGCTGGCCGAGGAGCCGCTGCTGGGGGACCGCGCGGCTGTGGAGGAGGTGGTGAGTGAGCAACGGGGTGGGGGGCCGGGGCAGGGAGGGGCTCAGCCATCAGCTGCACGGCCCGGTGCCGACGTCCTTGTTTATACGGTGGGGTGCGGGGGTGCCCACCTCCCTGTTTGTGGGCGGTGAGCGTCCAGTGCCGAGCACAGAGCCAAGAGCAAAGGCGGTCACCAGGGCTACCCTCTCCAGCTTCCCCACTTTCTAGGGGCCCCTGGTTCATAGTGAGCCAGGAGGGTGCTGGGCACTGACCACACACAGCCTCGCCCCCACCCAGCAGCCCTCATCCCTGTGTGGCAGGAGTCTGCGCGTGTCTCCCGCCGGGGTTGGGTTCTCTGCGAGCCCAAATTCCCGTCTGTCTGAAGCTCACTCCTAGGAGCCTGGGCCCTCTGAAATGCTGACTGGCTCTGGCTCCAGAAGGCGCCGCTCAAACCCTCGCAGCTCTCCCCCACGCCTAGAGGCTCACAGACCTCCGGGCTGGGGTCCACACTGGATCCAGTTGCCATAGTAACGGCCTTGCTTTAGTTGCCAGGGAAGCAGTGGTGGTAAGAACAGCAGGTTGAGACTGCTGCAGGGCGAACGGCATCCTGGGGCTCTCAGTGTTTCTGTCCTTCAATCTATATTATGCTGAGCCCATCTTATTAGCATGCCAGACCTGTGACCCTCTGTAAAGGAGCGGGTCCCCTTGGCAGGAGGGAAGGCGGGTCCCGCATAGAGTCCTCCCTCACCTGCCTGGCTCCTCTCCCCTTTTCCCAGGCCCCAGGTCACCCTCTCCACCTCCGTCCCCCTGGCTCTGACCGACATCCCTCCCCGCCTCATTGTAACAGCGGGGGCCACGGATGCAGCTCTACACGTCCGTCCCCACCCCTCCCCCCACGCCTCAGTCTCATGGTGTGTGCGGCTTTGAGCCCAGCTCAGACGAGGCCCCCCAAGATAAAAAGAAAAACCAACACAGGCTGCTCAGAGAGGAGGAGGTAAATTAGGGTGCATGCTGCATTTGCTGTATGTAAATAATTTACATCCGCTACTTCCACCCAGCCTTGAACAGCACTTGGGGCCGACACGGTGACGCCCATCTCACCCTGAAGTAGCCATGGAGACCTAGCTAATGCACAGGGCGGGTCCACACCTCCTGCTGTTTCCCGGCCCCCACCCTGACCCCTGTGTCCCCCGTGGACCTGACGGTGGCCCAGCAGGTGGGAAGGTGAAGGACTGAAGGCCCTGCCTTCCATGGCCCTTTATACGTGGACGTGACACTTGGTCTGTCATGGCCCATCCTGGTGTCAAGACAGCGACCTCCCTGGGCTTTCACGGACAGGAGGGTTTAGGGTTGGGGAGAAGAGAGAACGCAGCTTTACGAGAAAGGAAAATCAGTCTTTGCTAAAAAGAGCAGGGCATGATGGACTTTGATCAGCTTGCCGGTTTGAAAGTGGAGTTGGCTGATCAGACCCGGAGGCCGTCTCCTTTATAACTGGCAGAGAGCTTTCACTGCCTTTCACTGGTTCCGGATCAGCACACAAAACAGTTGACCCGATTTCCGCCTGGACTCTCTGCGGCTGTCCGAAAAGACCCCCGCCCCCAGCCTGGTGCAGGAAAGCTCGGACCTGACCATGAGTGCAGTCCCCCCGGGAAGGACACGTCGCCATGGCTCCCTGTGTCTTTCCGCCATCCCGTGTTTGCGTGGACCAGCTGCCACCGTTTCTGCTTGCTGAGGGTGGGGGCAGGGCGCTGGGTGCGGGGCGGGGGGGGGGGGTGAGCGGGGAGCAGCCAGGGAGAGGTCCCACCCGCTTCAGAGGGAGCAGAGTCGGCTCCCGCCACCAGGGGGCAGCAGAGAGCCACTGACGGCTCCCTGCTCAGAACCCCGAGGTCGTCATCTCAGTGCCCTTCGGCCACGGTGATGGGTCAGTTGTTCACTCTACAGCAGGGCGCGGAGCTGCGCGCGCAGCAGGCGAGGCCCGAGGTCAGTGTTGGCAGAGACTGGAAAAGGGCCCCCCTTCCCTGAACCTCGTGCTTCTGAGCACCCCGCAGCGACTCTTGTGCATGTTTGGGGGTGCACTGACAGCCACTGGCTTTCCTGTGGACTAAAAGGCAGGGGTCCAGGCACAGCCTCAGCTCCGTGTCCCCTAGCGTGTTGCGCGGGTCACGTATGTGGTCGCGCGTCTCAGGGGTTGGCAGACTAACGTGAAGGGATACACAGCAGATGTTTTCGGCTTTGTGCAGCTCTTCCCCTCTGCTGTTTTAATACAAAAACAACCATAAACAGTATGTAAACTGGGGCTGTGTTCCAGCGCAGTTTACGGACACAAAAAATCGGAACTTCATGTAATTTCACATCATAATATTCTTTTGACTTTTTCCCTAGCCATATAAAAATATAAAAACCAATCTCAGTTCTCAGGCTATAAAAGTGGCCCGCGGGCCGTGTCTGCCAACCCCTAGTCCAAGCAGCAGCAGCAGTCCGAGCAGGGGACGCTGCCTGTCCTCCTGGACACTGCCTGTCATGTGTACCCGTGACTGACTCACAGCCTGCAGCTGACGATGCCCAGTTCGCGCTCTCGGTCCAGCCCCCAAGCGGCTGTTGACCGGGCACCTCCTGGGAGCCAGGCTGGCTGCTGGGCCCCGGGGACGCCACGTAAACCTTGTAGCCGGACCTAATGCCTGAGGATCGTTTCTGCAGCATGGGCCAGAAATGCTAATTGGACGCTCCCCAAGATAACACCTGAGCTTTATGACATTCACCTCAGAACATTCTCCCTGCATCGCTGTACCTTTTTACATGCGCTTCGTTTTTTACACGGCTGTTGTGAAATAAGTCAATCCACAGACAAGTCTTGTTAGTCCAGGGACTGGTGCTCATGGAAGAGATACTGCTTCTTCAAGGACGATGATTTTTATATTCTTGACTTCAGGAAAACGCCTCCCTCCGGGGAGCACTTTAGAATAGACAGAGTGTACATATGTTATTTGACCTCCACCACTCAGCAATGATATTCCTATTTTGCGGATGAAAAGAACAAGGTGCAAAAACCCCTGTAACTGGCCCCGGTGGTCTGGCTAGGATGAGACTGAGCCATGGGGTCATTTACCTGAGCGCTAGCCGCTGCCGCCTCCTGACTTCAGTGGCCCCCGGAGAAGGCCCATGAGGCCCCGTTTCAGGCTGAGTCCACTGGGCATGACATCCCTGCCTGATGGGCCCCAAAGAGAGCTCAACCGTTGGTCGTTGGAAAATGTCGTTGTGGGAAAACAGATTGAAGAATGAAGTTCAGGGTGTATCGTTAGGTTGCAAAACTAGCATCAGTCGTTGCTTACAGTCTGACCTCCATCTTTAGCTTATAAACAATGCCTCATAAGAAACGAGACAGTCCTGTGTTCCCAGGGCACCTGCACGTGACATCCCCCTGGAGGCGATGGACCATAGAGGCGCCCGGGCCTCAGCTCCCACGGCCTTCCCTAGCCGGGTCCTCCAATGGGCCCGCGGCCCTGGGTCCGCTCGGGTTCCGGGGAGGGAGGAGGCCGCACCGCACACGCGGATGACGTCATGGCGTCTCTGTCCGGCCGAGACGTGCGGGGTGGGGACGCGGCGGCCGCGTGGTGAGGAGGGGACGGGCCGCCTGCCGGCAGCTCTGCCTGGATGCTGAGATTCTGGGCTGTTTCTCTTGGCTTTTTTTCCTTTTTTCCCCTTCTTTTACTTTTGCGCTTCCCTCTATGTTCTCATTTTCCTACAAGTTTGAAGAGGTTTCTCTGGTCGCTCAGACGGGGCACAGTCTGCCTGCAATGTTGGAGACCTGGGTTCCGTCCCTGGGTCAGGGCGATCCCCTGGAGAAGGGCATGGCAACCCGCTCCAGTGTTCCTGCCTGGAAGGTTCCATGGACAGGGGAGCCTGGCGGGCTACAGTCCACGGGGTCGCAGAGAGTCAGACATGACTGAGTGATGAACGCTTTGAAGAGGTTTAGGACCTCAGGGCAGAAGTCGGGACCTCTCCAAACACAGGTCCTAGCACCCGTGGCGCTGTCAGGCGGCCGGGCGGCTCTCCCCGCGTGGCCTGCTGAGTGGCGGCGGCCTGTCCCCTCCCGCCCCGCAGTACCACGGCAGCCTGGCGTCCCTCAACGGGCTGGAGGTGCACCTGAGCGAGACGCTACCCCGGGACCAGGCAGCCCCCGCGGCCAGAACCTACAGCTTCGTACACTACGACCGTGTCCAGAATGTGCTGGCGGGTAAGGGGCGCCTCCGGGAGGCGGGTGGGGGGTCAGAACCCGGGCCCAGCACCCTGGTGGGTGGGTGGGGGGGGGTGCCCCGTGGTCAGGATGCTCTTTCCCTCTCGGAGCCCAGCTCTCACCGGGTTTAACTGCTCTCGGCAAACTCTTCCCGACTGGTCTGTCTCTTTCTGGCCCTTTCTCCGTCATTTTGAGAGAAGCACCCACGTCCAGACTACCTGTGACGGGGTCGCCTCCCAACTTGGACGTCCATGTGCTGAGATGAATGTTGCCCGCCATCAGGGGTGGCGGGAGGGCCCAGCACTCCGACCTCTGTCCCCGCTGCCACTGGGCACCTGCACTCCTGCCTGGGGGGCCTCACTTCACCCCAGTTTTGGGGGTGCTGGGTTTGGGGGTGCTGGGGGGAGGCACTCTGCCATGCGTGATGACTTCCGTGTCCTCTTCGGGCAGCCAACCTGTCGCAGGTGACCACAGTGCAGGACCGCCGCTTCTTCCAGGCCGTCAGCCTGATGCATTCTGACTTCGCCCGGCTGCCCACGCTGTACGAGATGACCGTCAGGTGAGCGTCCCCAGGCCGCTCCCAGCGCTGCACCCGGGGTCCCTGGCAGAACCTCAGTCACAGCCAGCTGAAGACCAGTGCGCGGACCGGCCCGGGCCTCCCCTGACCCGCTCTGCAGGCTGCTGTCATCCAACCTCGGGCTTCCCTGAGTGCTGTACGTGCCAGGTCCCTTCCTGGGGTTCGGGCTGCTGCAGACACTGAGGGACAGCAGGGAGGGCACCCAAGGCCCTGCCCGTCTCAGCACTTCCATCAGTCACCGGGGCGGGAGGAGGGGCTGTCTGTCTTCCAACTGGACAAGCCCTGCGTGCTCCTGACCACAACATCCAGATGCCCCCCACAAAGGTCTCCCAAGGGCAACGTGTCCTCCCCTCACCAGCATGTGCCCCCAGATACCCACAGTTAACAGGATGGTGTGTCCCACCCCAGGTTTTCTTGGTGGTAGTTTTTGTTTTTTGCATATAAAAGGGGCTGCTGCTCAGTTGTGTCCAACTCTCTGCAACCCCCGTGGACTGTAACTACCAGGCTCCTCTGTCCATGGGATTCTCTAGGCAAGAATACTGGAGTGGGTTGCCATTTCCTTCTCCAGGGGATCTTCCCAATACAGGGATCGAACCCCCATCTCCTGCATTGGCAGGCGAATTCTTTACCGCTGAGCCGCTGGGGTAGCCCATATAAAAGACAGATGATCAGTATTTTTTATTATTTTACTGGTCTGTCTTATAAAAAAAAAAACTGGAGCACAGGCACTTGCTGTTTTCTAAGTTCCTTTTTCACTTTGTTGCATGTCTTGGAACACCTTCAGGCCAGCAGTTCTAGACCTATTAATTAATGGCATTTACAATCTTTAACCAACTGAACTCTACTTTTTCTCTCTACATGCTTCTCTCATGAAACCAGTAGCAGAAAAGAAGGCAAGTTAGAGGGTCAGAAGGGGAGTGCCTGCTCTGTGTATATTGCATGTTTGTACTGTACTATGGAGTGGGTTGGTCGAGTACATTCTTTGTAACCTCATTTCATGGACAAGTATGCACAAGTATGCAGTGGGATGAATGAGTCGCCCCGGATCAGTGGCTGAGTCAGGATTTGAGCCCAGGTGTCTTGTCTCCACAGCGCACGTCCCTCCACACATGGTTGTGGTTGTGGTTGCGGGTGTGTGTGTGTGTGTGTGCAGTGTAGTTGAGAGGTGGGGTATGGGGTGTGGGCTCTGAGCCTGGCTGACGAGGTTCTAACGCATGAGTGCGGGCGTTTCTGCTGCCCAGCGCTGTCTCCAGCCAATATTTCTGTGTATCTTTCCAGAATAAATGTGCCTCCTCTGACTTTAAGTCAGAGCTGCCCATGCTGGCAACCCAGACCCATCTCCGACCTATGGACCTGCAGTGTCTCACCTTCCTTGGAGCTGAGACTTTTCATGGTGGGATACATAGCTCATTTGAGTAACAGTAATAGAAACAGCAGCCTCCATTTCTTAACCATCTCACCACGGGCTAAGCGATTTGTATCCATCGCTACTCATTTACCACGTGAAGTCTCAGTGAGGGAACTGACTGCTGTCATGTCCATGCTTCTGATGAGACAGCTGAGACTCCCCCAGCCAGAAGGCTCGGGGCCGGCGTGAGCACCAGGTTGTGCGGGGCCTCCAGAGCCGTGCTTGGAGCCCCGAGGCGCCCCTTCTCTGTGGCCCCAGTGACTGGGCCCGGGCTCGTCCTGCTGGGCCAGGGACCTCGCGGGGTCTCTGGGGTCTGAGGTCTGCCCGGTGGCGGACTGTGATCTCCTTTCTCCCCTTCACCAGGAATGCCTCCACGGCTGTGTACGCCTGCTGCAACCCCATTCACGAAACCTACTTCCAGCAGCTGGCCACAGCGGCACGGAGCTCTGGCTTCCCGAACCCGCAGGACGGCGCCTTCAGCCTCCCGGGCAAAGCCAAGCAGAAGCTGCTGAAGCATGGGGTGAACCTGCTCTGAGCCGTGGGTCGCTCCTGACCCCCACGGATGACTCTCAAATCAAACCCCAGCAAAGGAAACGCTGCCTTGTTGAGTGGAAAAGCCCCTCTGTTTTACTTTTCCTGGAATAGTCCTCTTTTTTAGGACTGCAATATTTGAGTGTTTGTTACTCCTTCTGCAGATCAGGGCTGGAGGGGGTCGATCTTCGGGTTGGCAGACCTAGAGCTCGTGGTAAAGAACTTGATGGTGTGGGTGGCGTGGGGGTCAGGGTGGGGCCATGGCTCCTTCCAGCCCAGGGGCCTGGGGTCAGTGACCCCCCCATCACATGGAGCCCAGGGTGTCTGACATTCCCTGGGTCTACTCCACCCCGGCCTTGACTAGTATAGAGACTGAGGCTGGTGTTTCTTCTAGAACCCCGCTGTCCCTGGTCTAGAGTGCATGTCCCACGCTGTCTGCAGGGGGTGGGCCCGAGGTGCCTGCAGAGCCAGGAGATGGATCCGTATCCGCGAGCAGACCGTGTGCCCACTTCTCAGGCTGTCTTCACCACGGTCCTCCTAGGGGGTCGGTGCACACGAAGTGGTCGGGGATGCAGAGACTGCCTTGTCTGGATCACCCGCTGGCGGAAGGGGGTGATCTGGATGACCTGGAAGGGAGCTTGGGGTGCCGGGACCCGAAGGTGGGTGATGACCGGCTGGGCCAGCCCCTTGGCTGGAAGTGGGCGGTGCTGCTGGTTGCCCTGAGTGAGGGTCCCAAACAGGAGTTTCTAAAAGGGCTTGGAGCAGAAGCAGAGCTGCTTTTCGGGAGTGGGGGTGCTGCGTGAGAGGGGACAGCATTCTGCTCTGGCTGTCGCCAGGCCGGGGTAGGACTGAGAACATTGGTTGGGTGATGTTACAGTCTGATGTTCTATGATGATACGATGCGAGTCACAGAATGAAAATACTGACCAAAATCCTAACCACATCTTTACCGGAAGTATCTGAGACTCCATGTGAAAACTGCAGTGTAACTTCACACCAGTGAGCCAATATCTCCTGTTTATGACATGGTGTCTTTTTCTTGAAAGAAGTTGCTAAGGGCTGAAAATAAAGTAGCCAAAAATGCTACTGACTTCTGAGTACTGAGTTCTGATGGAGATACCTGCGTATAGATGTACACGCCTGTGTGTACTCTGCGTGGTCACCGTTCACTCTGCCCTGCCCGATCCAGCCAGGCTAGGAAGGAAGGGCGCGGGTCAGAGCGGTCTGTGTGCGAGGATCAGGGGCGGACAGCAGCAGCTTCAGCGAGGCTCCACTGCACACCAGGCCCGCAGCCCCCTTTCTGTTATGCCTCTGGCGTCCCTCGCCCCTGACTGGCCTAAGAGGGTGAGCTTCCCGGATGAAGGAGGGCCGTAGCTCGAGCTAGGGAAATGCACGTTGTCCCACTTCTCTGCCGGACTGTCCGAGGAAAACCCCTTCCAAGACCCAGGCCAGGCTCTTCAGGCACCTTTCCGTGACTGACAGACACAGAACCCGTTCCCTTCCTGTCCTGCGGCATTTCTAAGCAGCTAGACTTGCCGCTGATGCTCTAGAGTTGTGAGATTGCCAAGTCCTGAGGTTGACGAAAATCTGACCTGTTATGTGCTGATGCAGGGACAGAACTCGGAGCTCCCGAGTCCGTGTTCATATCTCCCACCCTCAGTAGCTCAGCTGAGTGCCTGGCTTCGAGGACACTTCCAGACGAGACCTGCTTCACAAGACAGGCTCCTGCCTATTCTGGGCCCTTTCCTAGGTGTCAGGCTACTGGCAGATTGTCTGCTTTGCTTTGCTTCCAGAAACCTCTCTTCCCATCTCATTTCCCAGGGCTGCTGTTGGGCTAAAACACGTAAAACACAGAATCCTGGTTCTGAGAGTCTGCACTCAAGGCAGCCCTGTGCCTCCCTCTGAGCAGAGTCACCACGTCATGGGAAGAGCGTGAAGTTCGCATAGCAAGCAAGGTGTGAGAGTAGGCCCACAGGGACTTGTCTGGTGGTCAGTGGGTTAAGCATCTGCCTTGCAGTGGAGGGGTACACAGGTTCGATCCCTGGTCGGGGAGCTAAGACCCCACACACCGCAGAGCAACAGCCTGTGAGCCACAGCGTGAGCACCACGCACAGCAACAAGAGATCTCACAGGCCGCAACCAAGACCTGATGCAGCCAAGTAAGTCCACAATTTCTCTGCTACAATTTCAGGACCTGACTCTTACCCTTGAGTGAGGGCTAGACAGAGTGCTTCATTTTTAATGGCCAGAATGTGGCCAGGATGCCAGTGTGACTTCTGAGGGTAGGTCACGAAGCATCGCAGCTGTCGCCTCTCTCTCAGTTACCTGTCGTGGGGAGAAGCTGACACGTGGGCAGCCGTGGGGAGACGTCCCCGGGGTGGGATCTCCTGCCCGTCTCTGTGAGCTTCTTGGAAGCAGGCCACCTGACCCAGTGGCCTCCACCGGACAACAGCAGGCCCTGACTGTCCTCATCTGATTCGGCCCTGCGAGAAACAGCCAGAACCATCGAGCCAAGCCATTTCAGAATCCTTAGCTCTCAGGAAGTGTGGGGGATGATAAATGTGTGTTGTTTTAAGCCACTCTTGGGGCCATTCGTCACAGCAATAGATGGTGCATGTGCACGCGAGCCCACATCTCACCCGCCCACCAGGCTCCTCACGGGCTTGGACGCTTCGGCCAAATGCCAGACAGTCTCAGTCCCAGATCCCAGCCCTGCCCTTTCCACCTAGAAGACCTATTCCACACGACGAAGGCAGAAACAGAGCGCTCCCCCGCTTCCTGCTTGTTCCTGCTAGAGCAGGCCCGCAGCGGGCAAGTGGCCGAGGCGCTAGGCGAAGGAGAGCCTTGAAGCAGGGCAGTGCCTTGATTTGCTCCTCGCTGGAAACTTCCCTGGCTCCCGGATAGGTGAGAAACGCAGCAGGAATGGAACACCCCCCCCCCCCCCACCCAGAGGCTGTGGGTGTCCAGGTGGGAGGGCTTGGAGGGGGGAGGAGGTTGGTTTGTGGCCCGGAGCAGCAGGGCGACAGATGACGGAGGGAAACGGGCAGATTAAAGGGCAACCTAGATCCCCCCCCCCTGCCTGCACTTGGGGCAGGTAGAAGGATGCGCATGCTGTATGTGGGGCACAGTCTCCAGAGGGGAGAAGCCCCGAGGGGGAGAGGGGAGACCCCTGCTCGAAGGAGTCCACGGGACAAGCAGGGAACGGACAGCTGGTGCTCTCGAGCCGAGCACAACACTGGTGTCCGTTCACCCCCCCGCCCCTTCCGCCACACACACACCCACACCCCCGCACCCCTTCACTGCGGACCTGTTCTGGGAAAAGAGCAGCAGGTGGGGAAGCCCCTGTCCCCGACCCTGGGGAGGGCAGGATGTTAGATCCACACCTGTCACCCTGGCTCAGAAAATAAAGACACGCTGGAACTTTTCTCAACACGGTCACTGAATCTGGGGAGCTTAAGGTGAAGATTCTCAGGGCTTCACGGCTAAAGAAGGACACTTCCTCTCTGTTTATTTTAAATGTCTGAACCACCTGGAACCCAGCTGCAGCTCTCCGGGGAACAAAACCCAGAGAGTCTTTTAAATCCTGTCAAGAGCCCAGAAGAGGCATTTCACGACTGCAGGGTGTGCTCGGGTCAGCTGAGTGCCAGCCCTCCCCTCCCTGGGCCGAGTGCTCCCAGGGAGGGCGCAGGGCAGGGGAGGGTGAGCCTGGCTGTCTCCCGATTCTATCTCCTGCACATGCTTGGAGTTGGTCTCTACTCTCCGACCAGCCCCAACCGGTTCCTGTGGCAGGAGGCGCACGCAGCTTTGGAGTCAGAGACCAGGGTTCAAATCTTCTGGTTCTATGACTTCGTGCTCTGGAAACTGGTTAATGTAATTCTCTGAACCTCAGCGTCTTCTTTTAAATGGAGAGGAGAGGCGAGGTATGTGAAAGTGAGGCATGTCGTGGGCTACAGAAAGTGGGGCTCAATATGTGTCCTCAGAAGGCAAACTCTCTCCCCAGCAGGGTACCTCTGTCTGCCATGGAGAGGGAGGCCTGAATCCACGACAGAGTTCAAAGCCTGGGGATGCTGAGCCACAAGCGAGGACTCCTGGCTTCCACGTCTGGCTCGTCCACCAGCCGGCACCGCAACCTCATCCGTGTGTACTGCCCTCAGACCCTACATTTTCCCGTGGTTAGTGTGTAGCTGTTCCAGCTCCCCCCGACAGGGCTCCAAGTATTACGGGATAATAACACATGTGACAGACTCTCCCAGAAGGTACATGCCGTCTGTACTCGATGACGAAACGCACTCACGTGGCATCCGGGGTGGCGGGAGTGGCCACTATGGGAAAGAGTGGGTGATCTGAAGTTAGGACCACTGTGTGCACCTGGGGAGGAGGCAGAGAGTCCGTTAGTCTCTGCGTGTGTTGCCTCCTGCCACCCAAAGCTGCACTCTGATGGAGTATCTTCGCTGCCATCTGTCAGCAGCTCTAAAGTACAGGGCCTCATTCTGTCCTGTCCCCGGTGTTTACATCTGGTCAGTGAGAGTCAAGCGAGGACAAACATGTCATGGGCAGGCGAGGCGGCTGGCAGCGGGGCGTGATAATCCTTAAACACGGCACTCTGCGCTGAGCCCTCGCTTCCCAGGCTTACCTTTTGAAAACATGCAGGGAGCGCTTCCCACCCACCCAACAACATGCCATGATACTGTCGTCCTCAAATCTCACTTTAATCCTAGCCAGAGAGCGTCAGGCACAAAGTGGATCTGGACATCTGGGCGCAACAGACAGAAACCACAGCTTGGACATGAGTTAAAAGAGCATTTATTGGCTCATGTGATGGAAAAGTCCAGTGGTAGGGCTGCTTCCAGGCAAAGCTCTATCTTCACAGGATGAGACCTGCTCTCCTCTGTGGGTTTCACGCTCAGATTTTCTTCACACTGGATTCCCCACTCCCATCCCATCAACAGTAGCCTCTCTTTCTCAACGGTTCCAGGAAAGAACTGGGGTCCTGCGCCCAGCCCTGACCAAATCCCTGAGGACCTAGGAGTCTGGAAGGCTCTGATTGGTCGGATGTGGGTCATGTGCTCAGCCCTGACCCAATCCCTGAGGACCTAGGAGTCTGGAAGGCTCTGATTGGTCAGATGTGGGTCATGTGCCCAGCCTTGACCCAATCCTAAGTACCCAGTGGTCTGGAAGGCTCTGATTGGTCAGGTATGGGTTATATGCCCAGTCCTGCAGCTGGGGTTGGGGCCGGTCCTGGAAACCCAAGGATTGAGAATGGGAATGCTATGCTCTTACAAGAGGCTGGTCAAAGTATCGTTGGAGGGTGTTAGAAGCAGTGACTGTCCCCTAGAGACCAAGGTTTGGAGGCCTGACCAGCATCACAGGGACGCAGCTCAGCCCTGAGCCTCCAGCTGGCTCGTTTCAAAGGCCTCCTCATCTCTGCGACTCAGGACCTCGACCCTCAGCGCCAGCTACACAGGAGATTCAGCCCGGGAAAGGAGCTGAAACAAAGAACTGGAATGCCTTAGGTCGGGGGTGGGGGGAGTACCAGTTATTTCTCAGCAGCCCCCCAGGTGACCGTACAGTGCAAAGTCCAGAACCAATGTGTGAGGGCTACCCTCCCCCTGCCCCGCCACACACTGCAGGGCACTTGATGTCACCAAGGGAGGCTCGGGACCCAGACAATCTAGGTGACTTTGCAGGGTGATGAGCAGGTGCACAGAAGACCTGGGAGATGACCTTGTCACACTGAGCAACCGCTCTGGCCCAGCCAGCTGGGGCAGGCTGTCTCTGGGTGGAAGGCAGGGCTTCCCATCTGAAGTTGGGCGGGCAGTCCAGCTCCCCTCTCTCACCCTGGGCATCCCTGGCCAGGACGTGTAAATTACCTTAGCGATTGCCAAGCTGGCAATGCACCCTTGGCGGGGGGCGGGGGGGAGGGAAGTGGGGGAGAAACATCTCGGCCCAGAGCGCAAAGCGCTCTTCCCTCCCCATGCCGTGGCCACCCGGCAGCCAGGCAACTCAAGGTCACTACAGCCCTGGTTCCTCTTCTAAGGGGCAAGATTCAAAACGCAGCTGTCGAGGGTTCGGGCCCTGAGGTTAGCCACAGGCAACGTGGCGCCCTTGGCACCTCTACCACTAGCCCCGTGAGCTCACCCAGCTCCCCTTCACCCACCCTTCTTCCTCACCTGTTTCTCCCTAACTGCTCAGAACTCCCGCTGTCTCAGAAAGGGGACCAATGTCGCTGCCTCTCTGTGGTGAAGGACAGTGACTGGCCCAAGGGGACAGGGGACGAGTTCCCGGCAGTGAGTCCCGACTCCTCAGTTTTTCTGAGGCAGGGGAGGGTCCTGGTTCTCTGCCCGGGGCCGACACCTGCAGTTACTGAACCTTCCATGGATCCACTCCTTCCCCCACCTCCAGGATCAGAACCACACTTCGCTTCATTCACTGCACGTGACCACCTTCAGGGCCCCGCCGTCTCCGTGACATGATCCAGGAACTGAAAGTCTCCAGCTCGTACCAGCCCCTCCTAGAGCTTCTGCCCCAGTCACGGCTCCTTTCCCACACACCACCTTCACCACTTAACTCTGGTTTTCAGCAAGATCTTTTATTTACCTCCTGGTCCCCACCCGCGTCCCGGGAGCACAGGCAGCTGGGGACGGGTGTGGGCTGTCGGCTTTGCAGACGAAGAGCAGTCAGGATGCAGACAGATCATGCACCTCAGTGACTCTTTGACAAGAAACTGGAGGAGGAGGAGGAGAAAGACTTCGGGTGGGGCAGAAATCTCTGCCCTTTCCTGCATCCTAATCGCTGAAAAAGATGTGTAAGAAAGTGTACTCAAATGCAGACATGGGTTCTTTATGCTGGACCCGGACACGGGATAAACTGTGTGTTCCATGCCGCTCCATGGTTTTATCGACCCAACTCTGCAATAATACATTATTCCAAAAATGCCTCTCTTGTGTGGCCGGAGGCGACCCCTTTACACGTTGGCTGACATGGGGCCGTTTCCAGACTTGGCGCCATAAACCAGCCATGTCCTTCACCGGAGACCAACAAGCCCGCGCTGAGACCGTGGGTCCTTTGGGTCTGCAGGTCGCCCAGGGTCCTCATGAGCACACACTGGCTTGGTGGGGGTGGCGGGGGGAGCCGGGGCTGCGCCCTTGTGCAGTGACAGGCACAAGGCAGACCCCAGCGTGATCTCCGAGCCCAGCGTTTGAACGTTTATGTACAGACAGACAAATGAAAAATCACAGGCAGCAGAACTCCAAAGCAAAAAACAGACACATCCTGGGCGGACCTACAATTCCCAGTTTTGCCAGAGAAAGGCTTTTCCAGAACGTCCCTGATGAGGGAGGCCTTGCTTGCCCCACCTCGGCACCCGCAAGCCAGCCTGGTGGTCTGAACGCTCGTCGCCGTGGCCTCCACACAGCTCAAGCGGGGAACCTCCTGGCCCGGTTTGGCAGTAGGGCTTCTGTAGGCAGTGAGGTAAGCGGATCACGTGCTCAGAGCCTCATCCGAGGGAGCCCTGGCTGGGCTCTCGGAGGAGAAGACACCGCCAGCCCCGGCTCTGTCGGAAAGCCACGTTTATGGAGACGCCTCTGGTCCCGCCAGCCCGAGGCTCTTGCCGTTAGCGAGCTCACAGGGCTCGGGGTGAGGTGAGCGATGGTGGGTTGGCCCTGCCCCTGACCAGGGCCACCGTGCCCATGCCACAGCCAGCCGGGGCCGGGTGGCGATGCTGACCGCAGACTGCCCCCTGCCCTGGGGCAGCGGAAGGGTCCCCAGGTGACTGTAACAGCAGCAGAGGCCATGTTTGCAGCTCTCTGCTTTGCAGTTTTTTGGTTGTTTTTTTTGTTTGTTTTCCTCTTAAGATGACCACAAGAAGATTTATGTTATTACATTCAGACAAGGAACCGTTTGGCGGCTCTACTTGAGAGCTCTGACAGAGCAGGTAGCGGCGAGCGTGACGCCCGACGACAGGGACAGCGGGCCGCTGGGCGCAGAGCGCAGGAATGCGCTTTTAGGCAGAAAGGGATCGCAGAAGCAAACGATGGGAAGGGGAGAAAAAAACTAAGGAAATACAAGCTGGAAATTCCCTATTGTTCAGTAACCAAAGGAAAAAGGGACCCAACGTGATCTTAAAAAACAAAAGTCCCAAATGCAAACTCTCAGCTGAGGCAGGTTTCTGAGCATGGGGTCCAAACAGGGCCGGGGGGCTGGGCCGCACCCCCGTCTGCCCAGGCAGACCCACTGTCACTCCTGGCGACTCCAGGGCAACCAACGTTCTCATCGTCCCGGAGCAAAGATGAAATCCAGGGCCTGCCGCTCGGCCGCCGCAACGTGCGGGTGCCATAGATCCACCATGAAAACCACCCGGGGGCCGTCCTCTGCCGAACCTGGGGAGGGGAGGGGAGGGCGGCGAGAGAGGAGAGTCAAAGCACCCCTGAGCCAGGACCCCGGTGGAGACAGACCCACGCGGGCAGCGTGCGGGCAGCGACCCCTCCTGCCCCCTGGCACAGAGCACAGGCTCGCCTTCTCTCTGAACAAACCCTAGGAGAAGGCCCCAGAAGGTTCAGAGCAGAGTGCAGGGCACGTTTAGGGCAGGAAAGCTACTGCGTACGGTCCTCCTGTGGCGGACCCGCGACACCTGTCTAAGCCCACAGAACGGACAACAGCAAGGGTCACCTTCACGTAAACTATGACGCGTCCACTGTTAACAAACGTGCCACAGTCGTGCAAAATGTTAATAAAGGGAAAATACATGCGGGGGACGGTCACGGCAAGGGGCAAACACTCTGGACTTTCTGCTCAGTTTTTCTGGAAACCAGAAACTGCTCTAAAAAAATAAAATTGAAGTATATATAAGCATACATATGTATATATTTAAAGGCAGCCACAGAACAGACAGGCACTCACCTTCGTGGAACGCAGTGTGCAGGAAGGAATCATCGAAGAGGAGGCAGCGGCCTTCTGCCCAGCACTGGGGCTCCCCTCCTACCACCAGCTCACAGCCGCTTGGAGTTTTCAGACCTGGGGCAGAGGAGAGAGGAGGGGATGAAGGTGGCAGGACCAGGATGCTGGAAGTCAGGAGGGCAGGCTTTGGGGGGGCGGCACTCAACTTCCGAAGCCCCGCTTTCCCCCTCACTCACCCCTTGGGAGCCCCAGTGGGAGGGGAGAGGAGAGGGCAGTTTGCTAGGACAGAGCCAGGCTGTGCACCCAAATCCCCACTGTACTCCCCAGAAAAGCTCCCTCCTCCTGTGGCTTAATCTGCTCTGGGCCAGGGATGCCCCTTGACGAAAGCACTGACCAACCGAGGCTTGCACCTCACCTCAAGACTCCTGAAGCCCAGCCATGGGACCCCTGGAGGTCGAGGGAGGCGGGATCAGACCTCCACCTGCTCCAGAGGCAAGGGCTGCTCCAGCTGAGAGTAAAGACGCTAAGACCCTCACAGCGCCCTCCTCTTTGGGGTTCATCGCAAGGCCCGAGCATGGTGTGTTCATAGTCCAAGTTCCCCCAGCCTCACTCTGGGAAGCCGGAGACACCCCTGAAGAAACGTCGAGCTTTGAGAGGTAACAGACTGACACCCTCAGAGAGGGAGCCGTTATGTTCAACACAAGTGCGGGGCAGGGGGCTTGGGTACATAACCCCGGACACGGGGTCTGCTTGAAACGCTGCTGTGCGTGCACGTTCACACCCCCATCTCCAACCCGGGGGTCTGAAGGACGCTGGGCCCCTGGCACTCTGGTCGCCTAGGCACCGCGTGGCCACCTAACTGATTGGGAAGAGGGTGGGTGGGGGGGTGGGCCCAGGCCCAACCTAGGAGGCGGCGGGCCCTGCATGGTGGGCTTGTGTCTCCAGTGTCCCAGCCTGACAATCATGACCCTGGGCCAGTCGGCACCCACCGCTCTGATTTAACGTCCCCCCAACATACAGGAAACAGCTTCCGAACAGCCCAAGGATTTCACGTACCCGCTGAACCACAAATGGATGGCTCCAGGAAGCATGGATGGAGGCTGAATTGAAACAAGAAGCCGTGACGGGGAGAGGGCAAGACAGCGGACCTGGGGTCAGACAACCACCTTTATGTGCTGGGTGACTTTAAGCAAACCCCTCCACCTCTCGAGCCGTAGGTCTTCATCTGTAAGGAGGGGCCGTGGGCGTACTTGCCTTCCAGGCCGTGTGACCACTGTCCTTGCTACCAACCACTGAAGAGTTACTGCGAGCAGGTTTGCATTAAACACGTTACAGACATCACCACACATGCTTTCCAGATGCAGCAACTGAGCCTTAGAGAAGTTCAGTGACCCGCTGGGAGTGCTATTCAGTCCTGCGGGAACTGAAATTCGAACCCCAATCTGTCTGGCTCCATGGAACAGGCTGGTCTAACACTGGACAGTATGATGGAAGTGTGAGCTGACTCGTCAGTAGCAGTGATGCTAAGTGGTTGTCAATTTCCCTGCAGATGGTCAGTTTCAGCCCTCAATAGTACATTCCACTGGATCAGCTAACACAGTCCGTTCTGCCTCTGGAACCACCCTCTCTCACTACGGTGACAACTGCTGGGGGGAGGTCAGGGCAGTAAAGGGGTTCAGCCTGCCACTCACTGGCCCCAGTGGAGAGCCCCACAGGCCACGTCCTTCTGTGTGTCCCCTCACTGCTTGGTTCAGGTGCAGAAGGCCTTTAGGAATGGGTGGTTCTCTGCAGGGACAGTCCACCCCAGGGTTTCAGAAAGGAGCTCCCCTTTCTCTGGGTGGTGATTCACTACCAGCCCCCACAGTACAACAGAAAGACATCCCGGCTTGCGCTTCCCGGCCCCGGTTCCCTCTCCTCCGCCTCCCTCCCCTGTACCCCAGCCTCCCTGCAGCCCACCATCCCTGCCAACTGCCAGAGCCAGCCTGGCTGGCAGGAACAGTCAGCACCCCCACAGACAGAGCATCTGGGTAGCTCCTGGGGATAGACAGGCCCCCACACTGTCTCGGCGGTCCTATGTGCCCGGCCTCTCTGGCTTAGGGCTTGCTGCATTGTCTCCACCACCCACGAACAGAGATGAGAGACAGGAGGAGAAAGGGCTCTGTCCAGCAAGGCCCCGCCTCCAGAGGCTGGCAGCTGGCCTGCAGGGCAGGCAAGGCAGACACGAGCTGACCCACTTGCATCACCCATCCAGACGGCCAAGAACACCAGCCATGCTCACGAAGGGACGAGAGCCCGACTGGGCTTCCTGACGAGAATGTGGACATGCACGTGTGTTTTCCTCTACTCTTTCCTGCGGGCCGGGCACCAGCCTCCTGGCTGACATCTGCCTAGTTAGTTCCAGGGGCGGTTCCCTGGAGGCCTGTGGCAGTGGCTGGGGACATCGCAGCCCCTACATGCTGCAGGGTGATGGCTAGGCGGCGTGGAGAGGGGTTAAGCGATGCCACGTCTAGTGGAAGTTCGGAGCAGGCTTGGCAAACTTGTGCCAACTGGAGGCGCTAGGCCTGCAGTCACACAGAAATGACACCCCCAGTCCCAATGAAGACAGGAGGCTGAAAAGGAGGCGGCGGGGGGTGAGCATTTCCAGGGCACAGTTCCAGGACCACAGGGGCCTCCCCACGACAGCCAGGTAGCTGGTGGAGGTGTGGCCACCAGCATGTACCAGGCCCTCCCTGCCTCTGACCTCATTCTCCCGACTCCCAGTCAACACACAAGGTCACAGGAGTCTCACACGCCCCGTTTCCTTTCTGGGTGGACACATGTAGGCAGGACAGAGAAGAGAAGGAAACAGCAAACCCCGCCCTGGCGCGCGCCCTGGCCATGGCACAGCCCACGCCGGTGGGCCGTCTTCCAGGCCGCCTGCTGTCCAGGGTGACACAGATGACCCAGTTTCTCTGGTGGCAGGCGGCACTCAGGGAGGGGAATGACAGGTCATAAAGCGGTTCATGCAGACACGTATTACAAACACGCGCATGTACACGGCACCAATACACAACAGGCATTAATACCCAGGGGGCGGATCCTGGGTGTTCTTGCCACCAGCCCTTCCTACTCACGCTGCCTGGGATTCTGCCTCAGATGCCCTTCCCTACGCATCGCTCTGAAGCTTTCAAAAAACTTACAAGGAGAACCTTTAAGAAGAACAGCATTGCTCCCCGCGCCCATAGCCTGAATCCCTCAGCCTGACGAGGGACGCCTGTGGTTTGCTCCCACTGGCCGGGCCAAGCTCAGCCCACCGGTGGACTCCCCAGCCCCGGGGACGGCTCTTCCCTCGCTCCACCCAGGCAGTCCCGGGGCCCCGCGGGGTCAGACCCTCCACCCCAGAGCAGCCCACCTGCAGCGCCCGGGTCCCCTGAGCTCAGAGCGCGTCCTGGTGCGTCACACAGAGACTTTACTGACCACGACCATCACTTAAGACGAGCATCTCACGTCTCTGAATAACCAGAGCCCCCTTTACCTGACTGCCCTTCACCTGCCAAGCACTTAACACACAGGACATACTTCTAATCGTCCAAACAGCCCTCCAGGTGGGTACTACCCCCACTGCAGAGAGGAGAAAACGGAGGCGCAGCTTCCGAGCCTACCCAAGGCCGCCTGGCAAACGGGCTAAGCCAGGATCTGAGTCCAGCTATGTGCGCTTACGGACTCTGCACATTTTTTGCTGTCTCCTGGGGCGGGGCCACATTCTACGGGTTAGTTTCTCACGCTGCCCGACACACCGTTTGATCATGAAGGCCCTAGCTGCCGTTGATCTAATGCTGCCACGCGCCAGGCACCGTGTCAAGTGCCCGTGGAAGATGCTACTCTGTTGAAACCTCTCAATGTTCCTGTGAGTAAGTACCATCTGCTCACCTTACAGATGTGGAGACTGAAGCCCAGGGAGATACAGTTACTGCACAGAGCCTCACAGCCGGCCACGAAGCCAGGCCACTCCCTCCAGGGCCCCGATCGTGTCCTGCTTTTACTCTTGAAATACTCAAAACGGTGTCAACTGCCTGAATCTAATTCTTTTCTCTTTTTTTGAAGCGGTAAAGCCCTCTGTGCAGTCCTCACAGACGGAGGGCACGGGAGGAGCAGAGGGACCCAGGGGAGAGGGGCTCAGGCCCCCCCGCGGCCCCGAGGTCCCCTGCGGAGCCCAGTTCTGATAGCCCTGCTCCAGCCCATCCTGGGCTCCTCCACGTGCTTGTCCTCCATCCACGCCACAGCTGGGGCGGTCACACCGCTAGGCTGGGCCTCGCTCAGGCTCTTCTGGTCTGGGATACTAACCTGTGGCCCCGTTGCCCTGGTAACCAACATGTTATCTCGACTCGCCAGGGAGGAGGCATTCTGGAGAACTAATGTCCCTCTTCACCGAGTAGCATTTGAGCCTGCTTTTATTGAGTGCTCACTCTGTCCCACTCCATGTTCGTGCCTGGGAAATCCCACGGACAGAGGAGCCTGGCAGGCTATAGTCCACGGGGCTGCAAAGAGGTGGATACGACTTAACCAAACAACACTCTCTAGCAGGCTCTGCTTGAACAAAGGCTTCACAGCTCACATTACCAACACAGCTCTGTAAGAAATGATCCTTTTTTACCTCCTCCACTTTCCAAATGGGGTAACTGAGGCCCAGAGAGGTGGACTCACTCTCCCAAAGGAACCCAGCCAGCTCGTGGCGGAGCCAGGATGCAAACACAGGCAACGTGACTGCAGACCCTGTTCTCAAAACCACCACCACACACACTACGCTTATGACCAACCTCCTTAGAGGCGGAACAAAATCAATGTAACACAAAGCAACACCTCGTCCTTGTGATTAGGAAGGCACTGGGGCATCTTCTGGCCTCCTGGACATCCTGACAAACCTCCAGAACCACCCCAACAGCCTCTGCCTCTAGAGCTACTCTGTTGCACACAGCCGCCACCGCCAGACTTTTACACATGGATTAAAGTAAAAATCGAGCTCCTTACTTACACCGGCCATATTTCAGGCTCTCTACAGTCATATGCGGCTGGCGGCTCCCGCCCCGGACAGGGCGGACAAGGCCTCTGGACGGAGCACCTGTCACAGAGTAGGTCGATACTGACCACGCCTTTGTGACTCAATCTCTGCCGCCAACACTGTGTGCACCTGACCCATCGATTTCTGATCAGAGTGCCGGGAAATGTGCAGCGTCCGTGGGGCGGGCCTCGGGCCCGGAGGCCCCGCCCCGCCACCTACCTAAATGGCACCTGAGGCGGATGTTGGTGGGGCCGTAGTGCTCCGTGATGACAGTGCCGGGGCTCAGCACGGACAGGCATGCGTTCCCAAAAACATTGTTGCCAATACAGGTCCGAAGGCTTCCCAGCAAGCGGTACGTCCGTGGGCACTTCCTGCAGTTCCGGGGGACGCAGACCCCCTGGTTGACCAGGTAAAAGGTGACCCACTCGCCGCTGGGGGTGCTGTTCATCTTCCAGCCCTGCGGAAGGCTGCAGTTCGAGAAGGCTCTGTACAGGCTCTCGAACTCGCACAGGATGGTCTGGAAGTTACGCTCCAGCAGCTCCACGTCGTGCTTCTGCGCCTCCCGCGAGAAGTAGGGCGCGGTGGGCAGGTCGGGCAGGAAGAAGACCTCGGGCTTCTGGATGGACGGCCGGCTGCTGAGGTAGCGGCCCTGCTCGCGGATGCCCTTGTGGATGCGGCCCATGCCGGACCACGAGTAGCGCTTGGCGTACTCCTGCAGGTTGTGGTAGAGCTTCTGGTTGAGGCCCTCGCTGTGGCTGCAGCGCACGCACTCGGCCGACTGGCAGTACACGAAGCCGTTCTGCAGCCCCGCCGCATCGGGGCCCTGCATCAGGGCGTTGACCGAGGCGTAGGCGCGGGGCTGCTCGCGGCCCACGTGGTAACAGTACCACACGAACAGGGCCAGCAGGCAGGCCACGCTGACCGCCGCCGTGGTGTCGCAGTCCCGCACCGACTGGATGCCGGCGGCGATGCAGTCCCTCAGGCCATCCAGCGACCAGCCCCAGGCCGCCAGCCACTCGAGCGACATTTTTTGGGGGGGGGGGGTAGCTCTCGGGGGTCCGGAGCGAGGTCAGCAGAGGTCAGTCCTCAGGGGTCCCGAGGGCACCCACGCTGTGCAGCCTAGCGCCGGGGACGGAGGGCCGCCAGGGCCGGTGGGGGCATGGTGGCCGCGGGTCCTGGGTTGCTGCCGCCGGTGGCATGGACCGACCTCTGCACCCACCCCTCCAGTCCTGGCGGGAGTCCCTGTGGGCAGGGCGAAGGAGCGGCTTGAGGTCGCCTTTGGACGTGGGGCGGGTCACCGTGCAATGTTAGGCAATCCAAACCTGAGATTAAAAAAAATAATAATAAACCGGCATTAACTTTTACACTTGGAAAAGTCCTCAGCTAAAATGCAAAAAGGCCCAGATCATTTGATCAGATCCCTGTTGGAAGAGGACACACTTCTCATCTTGTACATTCTTCCTGCATTTCCCAAAAGGCCAGTGGTGTCTAATCTGGGTCAAGTACTGTTGGATAATTACAGCAGTCCCATCTGTTTTGTGTCCTCCTCAGGAGGTGCTATGATCCCCACTTTATGGATGAGGAAACAGGCTCAGAGAGGTCCTATAACCCACCCCAGTTCATGCAGCTGGGGCAGGGCCACAAGGCCCATCTCACTTCAAAGCAGGATCTACTGCCGGACTCTTGTAAAGTAGGTATGTAATAAACGCTTCTTCTCCCTACATCTCTGTAATGGAACTTCCCTGACCAGGGACTGAACCCTCACCCTCTGCAGTGGAAGCTGGGAATCTTAACCACTGGACCAGTAGGGAAGCCAAATCTCTTGTAGTTTTTATTAAAGAGAAATCTGGATTCAAAAGCATCTTGCAAATGGCAAAGGCACTTAAAACCTCATGTTCTCCATTTTACTTTCTTTTTCACGGCACTTCATCATTCTTGTTTATTTAATCTCTCTTGCCCTTCTGACACCCTGGGCTTAAATCAAGCTGGAAAAGCAAGTGGGCTCCCTGGGGTCGATCTGTGGCAGACACTGGGCATTTTCTGTCTCCTCGCTTGGGAGACTACCTACTGGCCTCACTCATGGGATTATGAAGTGAAATGATGGACAGACTGAGAAGAGAAAAACAGACAGAAGCGCTTTACCACTTAGCTCACTTATGTTTCGGGCCAATGTCTGGCAAGATGTTTTGGTCCAATGTCTAGCACGGTTATTATCCTAATAATCTAAAAGATGATCAGAGCCCAGTTGTCTCATTACCAGTTGACACATATACACTATTGATACTATGTATAAAATAAACAGCTGATAGAAACATACTGTATAGCAGGGGAACCCTAACTAACGCACTGGTCAACTAAACGGGAGGGGAATCCAAAAGAGAGGGGATATATGTATATGTATGGCTGATGTGTTTTCCTGTGCAGTAGACGCTAACACAACATTGTAAAGCAACTCTACTCCAATAAAACTAAAAAATAAACCCAGAGATGTTTCCCAGTTGAAACTCTTTGTCCACCCTCTTTTTAATCAGATGAGAACAGCCAGGTCTATGTTCTACTACATATGTAGTAACATTCCCTCATCTTGAGGAGAATAATTCAGAAATTTTGTTTGGTACTACCCTTTCTCCTCTCCCCCAGGAATATGAGAAGGTAACTAACAAAAAAGGGAAAGCGGTACCCTCCCCTTTCTCTGGGGACTAAGTTTGGCCTAAGTGTTCTTGCAACTCAGCAGAAAGGTTAAGAACCCAAACTGGGCAGGTCACTCCCCTCTCTCAGTTTGCTCATCAGTGTCAAGGGGAATGATGGGTTGAAAGTGTTTATGATCGTGTCATCATCTAGCGACATCTATGACATGTGGACTCCCATCTCTATGAGCCAGCAAACCAAAGGTGGGCTGTCAGGGAAAGGTACCTTGGGAGTGAGAATTCCAACAGCCAAAGGTAATTCTTGTTGCCACACACCTCAAGGGACTTTTTCTTTTAACCCCAGACATGCAAAGCTATTAAAATGAAAGGGAACCCTTAGCTTCTCCTTAACTCCCTACTTTTTATCTTCCCAGCTTAGGTTGAATCACTTGACTATGATATTTAGTAAGTCAGAAACACATGCTGAATATTCATGGACATTTTTTACATTTCTAGGAAAAATACAAGAGTGGGGAGGTTAGAAGCTAAATTTTTGTCCTCACGCATCCTCCATTTCCTCACAGATTCGGGAGAAAGGGAAAGGCTGGGTCCCTGAATGGAAAGAGCCCCTCCTCAACCCTGCCCGGGACCCTGGTCCTTGGCTGGTCCTCCCATCACTGGCAGCTGTTTCCTCTTAAAGACCAGGGAAGGAAAATCCTGCAGAGAGGTGTTTTGCTTGCAAGCCTCCTCCCAAACAGAACCCCAGGATTCTTGAAATTCAGTGTGAAACTAACATCTGCGTGATAACAAGCACTTTTACTAAAAGGATTTCCCCCCTCACTTCACTGAGCTGAAGCCCTAATTGGAACTTTTACACCAAATCTCTCAGGAGGAAAGGTTTTTCTTAAAGGTTCCAAGAGTGAGATGATGATCATTTAACAAACACCTGTTAAGTGTTAGTTCCCATCAGCCTTGACTACAGTTCAAATCAATCAAAATGAAGACACCAGGGGACTGGGTGGATGACAGGGGCTTCTCTCCACTGGACACCCACACGCTAACCCTCCCCACCCCACCCCCAGAAAGCCTCATTCTGTACAACGCCAGCCGTGAACACTCCCTGGGCTGAGCTCGAAACAAAACGCAGCAGAGGCTCCTGCTGCCCCAAACCCCAGTTTCAGACCCTGCTCACGAGTTCACAAACAGTACCGAGAGCTCATGGAAGGCTCTTCACACCTGTCCCTTATTTTAGCCAAACTATCCTGGCAGAACCTGAGCCCAGAGGTGGATTAACAAGCTCACAGCTGAAACATGACACTTAAATTAAACCTTTACCTTGGCAGGGTGATTGGCAGTTTATCAAGCACTGGTTTATCAAACATCTGACCCTCATAGACCCCAGCCCTCCAGCTGGAAGGGCATGAATTTCACCAAGCTCCATCCCTGCCCTTCCCCCTCCCCCCACCCAGCTCTTGCTTCAGTGATTTCCAGCTTTCTTTACACATCTGTTCCACAGCTGTCCTCATCAGGGAGGGGGACACACCTCATTGCTGTCCTCCACTTTAGTAACTCTAGATCTTAAAAGTCAGTCGGCTCTGGGGAATAGGGTCTGAATTTATTGGCCACTTTTGGGTGAACAAGTCCCATCACACACAACTTCGGATACAATGAATATCTAGGAAAGAGACTCAGTTCTAACCTGGTTAGTCCAGTTACATCACCAGTTCGAGAGGTTGCCCAGTGCTAAAGAGCTTTTGCTCACTCTCAGGGTATGGTCAGGCCACCCTAGAAGACCCCCAAGGAGCAGGACAAATGTGATGCATGTAACCAGAAGCCTGCCCAGGGCCAGCCCTCTGCTGCAGGGAACCCGAGACCTCTCTTCCTCACTTTCTTGGCCAGCTTTTTCAGAAATCCACCCACTCAGGAGACTGGGGGAAAAGGGGAGGGCACAGGATAGGTTAAGACAGATGGTGACCACCAGGAGGGCGGGGGCTGGGGGGAGGGATGAGGAATGGGAAGATGAAGAAAGTATTAACAGGAAAAGTGGGCGATTAGGGAAGACGGCTTAAGGTGATACCTCTGGGACAGGTGAGGGAGGGTCACCACGGGAGACGGGGGGAAGTGGGTGATGCACAAGGGTGGGGGGAGGAGGAGAGCAAGCAAGCGAAAAGGACCAAGCAGGATGGTCACCGAGGAGGGTGATGAGGGTGGGGGGTGTGAACACGGCGGACAGGGTCGCGAGGGGCCACAGAGAGGAAGAGGAGGATGCCCGGGCCGCGAACACTGCCGAGGTGGCGGCGCTCAGGCACGTAGAGAGCGCCGGGCGGCGGAGGGCCCCTCCGCGGGGCCAGGATGCCGGGCGCTAAGCATCCTCGGAAGCCGCACCGCCGGGCGTGGGGACCGCGGGCCTGCAGCCCGCCCGGCCCCCGCCGCCTCCTCCCCGTCTCGCAGGGATCGGCCCGGCCGCGCCGCCCTCCAGCCCCGCAGCCCCGGGAGACCCCCGCTTACCTGTGCCCGGGCGCGCGGGGCGGAGGGGGCGGCCGCTGGGGCCGGGGCGATGCCGCCGCCCGAAGGCGCGGACGCCTGGACGCCCCCTGCCCGCGCCGCGGAGCCGCCGGAGCCGGAGCCGGTGCCGGAGCTGGAGCCGAGCCGGTCCCCCCGCCGGTGCCGACGCCGCGCTGCGCTCCGCGGGGACCACAACTCCCACAATGCCGCGCGCGGCCGGGCGGCTCGGGGAAGGGGCGCGGGAGGGGCGGGCGCGAGGCGGCCTGTGGGGCGGGGCCGAGACCCCCGGCGCCCAGCGGCGCCCCCCACGGGTGCTGGGTAACCCGGGGTCCCGACCGCGCCGCCCGCCTCGCGTGGCTTTGGCGGCCGCGGCCCGGGGCGGGGAGACGCACTGCCCACGCGGCCCCAGGGCGCGCGCAGGCGGGGCGGCTGGGCGTTAATTCCCCGCTCCCGGTTCTCCCTGGGTGCCTCTGTCCGTTCTCCCTCCCTTGATCTCTCCCTACCCACTCTGGTTCCCTCCCTCCTACATTTGCTCCTCTCCTCTCTCCCACCTTCCCTCCCTCACTTCCTCATGCTCCTGACGTGACACCCTTCTTTCCTTGACGTATTGATTCACCATACACTTATAAGGCCTCTTAGGCCCTTGGAATGAAACCACAAATCAAACAAGATCCTTAGTTATCATGGGAAGTGCATTCGTCCGATAATTACTGGGCAACTTCTCTGGAGAATGGCCACCCACTCCAGTATTCTGGCCTGGAGAATCCCACGGACAGAGGAGCCTGGCGGGCTACAGTCCACGGGATCGCAAGAGTCTGGACAGCACTTTGCGGCTACACCACCACCACCCCCCTCTCCGGGGCCGACCCTGCGCTCCCCAGGGAGCTCCGACAGG